CAGCTAGAGCCGAGATCAAACGGATCTCCAAAGCCAGGTGCTCACCTAGATAAAAATGGAAGGTTCAGCTAAAGCTAGGAGCGGTTTCTCCAAAACCAGCTTTCTCCTTAGCTTCCCTGTAAGGCCAGCTAGAGCCGAGATCAAACGGATCTCCAAAGCTAGGTGCTCACCTAGATAAAAATGGAAGGTTCAGCTTAAGCTAGGAGTGCTTTCTCCAAACCCAGCTTTCTTCTTAGCTTCCCTGTAAGGCCAGCTAGAGCCGAGATCAAACGGATCTCCAAAGCCACGTGCTCGCCTAGATAAAAATGGAAGGTTCAGCTAAAGCTAGGAGTGCTTTCTCCAAAACCAGATGTGTAGGTTTTGGAGAAATCAGTGCTGACTATTATCAAATGCCCGGTGATGGTAGCTCAAGCTCTTCAAAGCTCCTAGCATTGGCCCAGCTTTATAAAATCCTGAGCTAGGATGCTAGCTTTCCTAGCTATAATAATTTTTACAGCAATAGCAAGGGCAGAGATCACCAGCTGTCATGAGGTGCCCTTTCTACAGCACCCCCTCTTAGTGTCCACTGAGAAACAGCTTGATAAAAGCCAAGTCAAAGTATCAGCACATCCTCTAGCTTCCCTGAATCCCACAGTACGGCTAGGAGCTCATTCATATTTTAGGTGCAAAAGGCAGGGAGGAATGTACAGCCAAGCCTAGCACTTAGCTACGTACTGGATGAAGGCTTCTCCTCCTTTCCTCTGGGCATAGGAATTCTCAGAAACCAAACCCTGAGCTAGGAATGTACGGTTGCTAAGCTTTCAAAAACTACAGAGATCCTTAAAGCTAAGGGCTTGGTCAGGTCAAAACTGCTTTGTTCCTGTACTAAGAATTGGCTTGAGCAACCACGGGCAATCTCTGTAGGTTTTTTTTGAAAGCTTGCATTGGGTTTGGGGACATGGCCCTGAAACAGGGACGAGATGGCTCCGTGGCTAAGACGCTGAGCTTGTCGATCGAAAGGTTGGCAGTTCAGAGGTTCGAATCCCTAGTGCCGCCTAATGGGGTGAGCTCCCGTTACTTGTCCCAGCTTCTGCCAACCTAGCAGTTCGAAAGCACGTAAAAAAATGTGCGTAGAAAAATAGGGACCACCTTTGGTGGGAAGATAACAGCATTCTGTGCACCTTTGGCATTTAGTCATGCCGGCCACATGACCATAGAGACATCTTCGGACAGCGCTGGCTCTTCGGCTTTGAAACGGAGATGAACACCGTCCCCTAGAGTCAGGAACAACTAGCAAATATGTGCGAGGGGAACCTTTACCTTTACCTGAAATTTACTGCCGGGGTTAGCTGGGATAGGGGTGCTAGGAAAGCCATAACTCTTTTGTATAATCCCAGTGCTAGCTAGGAGGAAAAAGCAAGCTTTAGCTGGGAGAATCCTTCAGAGCCCAGAGGAGTTTGCAGGGGAAAGCTAGCTTTCTGTGAAACCCGGCACTGGCCGGGGAGATCTGTCAATTAATCTTTCAACTGCAGAGGTAGCCAGGGCAGTAGCAATAGTTAGTCCCCCAAAAACGTGGAAGGGTTCCCCATTTAGTGGAGGGTTTAATCATGATGGGGCTTGGAAAAAGCTCTAGCTGTAGAATTTCTAAAGCTCGCTGCCTATCAGTTTGGAAAGCTGCAAGCTTTCTAAAGCTGCCGTTTCGGGAGAAATTGAACTGGGATTGCCAGTCAGTTTACAGTTTTCCCCCGAAATGTTTCTTGCTAAGGATAGCAGGAGTGGGGGCGGGGGAGAAGCTTCTAGCATCTCACCAGCTCATTAGAAGCTCAGTGCTGGTTGAGCTGATGCGATCTGGGAATTTTTGGATCCGCTGTAGGGTAGCTGTGATGTTGAAATTTGGGGTGGTCAGGTTTCTGGCAGAAGCTTTTGCTAAGATGTTGAAGCCTTTCAACATCTGGCATTGTTTGGAGTTATAAAAAAGTTAAAGCTTGGACGGAGGAGAGCCCAAGCAAAGTATTCCTTATGGTCTCCAAAGCCAGAGCTCAGCTGGTTCCCGAGTGATTTAGGGCTCTGCAAATTATAGGAATTACTCCAAGCGAGTCACTTAGCTAAAAGGGAGATGATTTTCTCAAATTCCTAATAAGAGGAGAGGGAGGAAGCGGAGGCTGAATTCATGAAGTCAAGTAAAACTCTAGAAGCCCAAGATCAGTTTGACTTGTTTATGGTTAACATGGGTTAGGGTTTTGTTGTGTGTTTTTTTGCAAGCTCAGCCTGTTGTACCAATACAGTCTGGTTGTTTTGCAATTCGGTATGTTGTTGTGCCAAATCACGAAAAGGTCACCTTTTGAGAGGGAGAAGATACAGTTTTCATCCTGGTCACTGAGAAGGTTTTAGCCTTGCTTGCTCTCCGTATTTAAAGGAGAAGCAGAAACTGGGTCTCACTGATTGTGTGCTTTGATTCTGTAAAATCAAAGAAGCTTTTAGTGGGCGATGGACCGTCGCATTGTATTCATATCTCAAAAACAGTTTTGCTCAAAAGCTGGTGGGCTTTCTCCTCAGTTCTTGCACTTCCCGGAGGACAATAATGTGCTTATATCAATTTAACAAGGGCGAGAAGGGGACTCTGCTCTTTGCACATAAGAATCTAAAAGTATTTTCAGATCCTCAAACTAATTTGAAAGGGTCTGTGGTGGATTCTTATCAGCAGGTCTGGTGATGACGATAGAATACATTGGGTAAATATCTGAATCAGTTTGGTGTAGTGCTGAAGACATTGGTTTAGTAACCAGGACATTGTGAGTTTTAGGCCATTCTTGGGCAGGAAAGCTGGCTGAGTGGATTTTGCATTGGTCACTCACGGGGTTGTTGTCACGGGGAAATAGGAGGTGGGGGAAGGAGGCATGTTCACTACTTTGGTGTGTGTGGTGTGCAGGGGTGGGCTGCTGGGGGTTCTCAGGGGTTCGGGAGAATTTCTAGCTAAGATTCTGTGCAGTTCAGAGAACCCCCAAATCCTGGATGGCCCTGCCCACCCTGCACCTCCCCTCCCAGGAGTCCCCATGTGGCCCGTTTTGGATGCAGGTAATTACAGGGTGCACATGGAGGCTCGGGGAAGGCAAAAAACAGGTCTATTGGAAGTTTGGGAAGCCCGTTTCCAGCCTCCAGAGGGCCTCCAGAGCCTGGGGAGGCAGTTTTCGCCCTCCCGGAGGCTCGAGGAAAACCTCTAGAGCCTGGGGAGGGCAAAAAGGCCCTCCCCCCTTGCCTTGGTGCAGGAGACCAACTATGCCATTCCCACCACGGCCATGCCCACCCAGCAACAAGGCAGAGGACCCCTTGCTAAAATTTTTGAAGCCCACCCCTGATGGTGTGTGTTTCTAAGCAAGAAATCAGAAGAGTTGATGGATTTGGAGCCTAAAGCATAGCCTTCAAGAATCAAAAGAAAGATCTCCCCTTAGACAAGAGAATCTGAAACATTTCTGAAGTGCTGTAAATTTTTGGGGAAATATCCTTGAGAGAGAGAGAGAGAGAGAGAAGGACAAAGGGGAAAGGGAGGATCATGAGGAAGGCAATGGTCAGAAAAGAGACATCTCAGCCCACAGAAAAGTCGGTGGAAAGTATCTCAGAAGAGGAACACCCCCATCCCCATTCCCTAGAAACTAAAGGAAGGAGGGACAGAGTTGCAAGATTCTGTTACGGTTACATTACAATAAACATTAGTTTATTGTACTCGTGATACTGGTTTTTCATCTGGGCTACCTCAAACAGTTGACACCCAAAAGGGAACTGTGTGTGTGAAGCAAGAAAGCAGAGTTGACTGTTTTAGTAGCCAGCTGAAAGGGAGCAGCCAACTGGTAAAAAAAATGGAGTCAAGTAGAATGTCCGGTTTGAGCCAATTGTTGGCTTTTTTGCTTAATCTGGCTGACCAAGATAGGCTTGGCAACAAGGTATTGGAGAAAAGTTTGAGATCTGCTTCATCTTTTTTTGAGAAGAAATGCTTGATTACTTTGATATCGCAGCGTGTGGCCTGGCCTGAGAGGGAGAGATTGTGCTTCTAGTTTTCTACCCCGGACTCAGAAAATATTTTGTCAGTTCATCTGAGTAAATGTTATTTTACAAAACTAGTTCTTAAGGATTCCTTCTTTCTGGGTGGATACGCAGGGGAGTTTTTTGACCGTTATTGCTTTTGTGAATCTGAAAATACGGTTGTCTTTGCAAAAGATTCCAGACCTGTTTAGAATTCTTCCGGTTTTCGGCAATAAGAATTCAAAATATTTTCTCCATGAAGGAGATGGGCAGTTTCTAAATATGAGATATAAAGATATAAACTTTCCCAAGGCTGCTCTCAATGATTCCTATAACAATCCTGGAAAATAGTCCCATTGATTGACATCTCCTATGACAACATTTGCAAAAGTTTACACCTCAGTTCCATACTTCCTAACCTTCCTCTCTCAGCTCACACACACAGGATGATTCTATGAAAGAGGGATCGATATGAACTATTAGAACTGGTTAGGAATCAAGTGAGACAAACCCTCAATCTGGATGCTTTCCTATAACTTCAAGTTATCAATGAACCAGAGGTGGGTTTCAGCAGATTCTGACAATTCTGGAGAACCGGTAGCAGAAATTTTGAGTCGTTTGGAGAACCGGTAAATACCATCTCTGACTGGCCCTGTCACCATCTATTCTCTGCCTCCCGAGTCCCAGCTGATCGGGAAGAAATGGGGATTTTGCAGTAACCTTCCCCTGCCACGCCCACCAAGCCATGCCATGCCCACCAAGCCACACCCACAGAACCGTTAGTAAAAAAAAAATTGAAACCCAGCACTGCAATGAACCATGACATGCACTCTGCAGAACCTGGTTAAATTGGGGGGAGAGCCTACATGAATTTTTTTTTTTTTGCCTTCTCTTCCTTTCTCAGCAAAGCAGGACACACTTCCTTTTCGTGCACTCAATGCCAGCTGAGCATGCAACCGCTTCAAAATCTGCCATCCTTCTTCTTTTTTTTTCTTCTCTCTCAGAATCCCCAAAGGCCCCTTCTCTTTTCCCACTCATCCCATCTGTGGACAACTTAGAGACCAAAGACATAACCATCGGATGTCTCGCCAAGAATTTCCTGCCAAATTCAATTGAATTCTCCTGGAATAACCCAAGCAACCAGAGTATCAGCGAAGAGAACTACGTGAAATTCCCATCTATCTTGTCGGGTGGGACATACACAGCCGCTTCTCAGGCTAAAGTCGATCCGGCTTTATGGAATGCTTTCAAACCGTACTATTGCAAAGCCAAGCACCCACAGGGCAACACAGAGATCTCAGTTGTTCAACAATGTAAGTGACCTTCCTTTATTCCATCATCCATGTCACCCACGAGCATGTAGGGCACTTTCATAAGGCAGTCGATCAGAGGACACTAGAAGCTAGATGCAACATGCGCTTGTAAAAAATTTAGCCCGCCTCCTAAATCACTACACCTAATTTCCTTTGCTTAAACCCAATGGATAATTAACAATTTCTAATTCAAACCTGAAGGGAAGTGGTGGCTCCCACTGGCTAAGACACTGAGCTTGTCGATCAAAAGGTCGGCAGTTCAGCGGTTCAAATCCCTAGGGCCGCGTAACAGGGTGAGCTCCTGTTACTTGTCCCAACTTCGGCCAACCTAGCAGTTCAAAAGCACGTAAAAAATGCAAGTAGAAAAGATAGGGATCACCTTTGGTGGAAAGGTAAACAGCGTTCTGTGCGCCTTTGGTGTTGAGTCATGCCGGCCACATGTCCACGGAGATGTCTTCGGACAGTGCTGGCTCTTCGGCTTTTGAAACAGAGATAAGCATCACCCCATAGAGTTGGGAATGACTAGCACATATGTGCAAGGGGAACCTTTACCTTCACCATAATTCAAACCTGACATTTTCTTCCCGGGTGATTATTTCTTCTGAAAGATAGGCACAGTGAGATATGTTCATTTCCCTTGAAAACCAACCTCCTGAATATAGATGAGGATTGAACATGGCTTCTTCTTGGCCATGGGAAATAGTTCTCTGAATATGCTCCTCAGTGCCCTGTTTTGTGCTCTGGGGATGAGCCTGGGGTCTGGGGTTAAACCCGACTCATTCTCATTTCCTGTAGATCCCTATTTCCAAGACATTTAGATGTGTTTCTCAGTTCAAAGTCCAGCAGACCACTTCGTTTAGCTAGTTAGTTTTCTAGATAGAACTGAATACACAAGTCCCTCAACATCACTGCAACTTCTGAATCTTCATTTACATTCATGCTTGGAAGGTATTGAAATTCCTTGACCCAATCGTTGTTGGTTTTTTCTTTTTCAATGTTCCAGATGGGGGATCATCTTCAAGAGAGCCTTTGATGCTTATCCGGGCACCAACGCTGGCTTCCTTTTCAAGTATCTACCTAAATTCCACGGTTACCTGTGAAGTTAGCGACCTCTGCTCTGGAAATGTCGTCCTCTCTTGGCTTAAGGATCAACGAGAGATCACCACTGGCATCACCACCTCCAAACCAGTCCCGAATGGTCATGGCAGCTACACCGTTTGGAGCAGACTTGTCATCACCAAGGAAGACTGGGTTTCTGAAAAGAAGTTCACCTGTAAAGTGAAAAGCCAGGGGTTCGATCATGAAGAGACATTCAGCTTGCCATCTTTCTGCAAACGTAAGTGGCATTTTCTTCAGGAATCAGAGTAAAGTGGCCCAATTATGCGATCACTCTTTCCTCAAATGCTCCTCTAGATTGAACACTGAGTTATTTAATTTTGGGGGTTTCTGCTGCCAACGGAAGCTTCATATATAGACATCCACCTCACATTCTATCCATATTTTTGTTCACCGGGGACCAGTGCCTCTGAGAACATCCATTAGTTTAGCAATTGATATGTTCACCTGTAAAGAAGAATATTTGTACCTCAGGGTTGACTTGAGGGATCCTCGGTGCTCTCTGAGCTTGCTTGTTTTCTTGCCGATGTTTCATTACCCAAACTAGATAACCTCATCAGTGCTAGAAGGGAGCGGGGTTTGTACTGATGATGTTAGCTTCTTCTGGAAACAAGCAAGTTCAGAGATCCCCGAGAAACCCTCAACATTCACCTGTGTTTTGATGTCACTGCAGAGAATTCTCTTTTCTCTGAAGTGTTATGCTCAGAATTTGAGCAAAGAAAACAACATTCTCCTCATTCATAAACAGTCAGGGAAAACAGAACAAAATATGGTATGTCACTAACTAAAGTTAACATTCCTATTCCAAAGTTCATCATTGAGATTTAGAATTAATTTTTTTAAAAAAACATTCATGGTTCTGTACAAATCTACCATGACAGATTCTGAAAACCCTAGCAAAGCTCTCCGAGATAAATCCAAAGAGAACATCTGTATATTTCTCAAAGATGCATAGGAACAGGTCCCTGCTACAATTTTTTCCATTTGGACCACACCCGGCATTACATTAATCAAGTTCTTAGCTACTCTTCAACACATTTTAATAGTCAGAAGACAGCAGTCACACATATTCAGCTCCCCAATATGCTTGTTATTCAACATGGAAAAGGTAGAAAAAATTTGAACAATTTACTGATTTATTGTATAATGGAACACTGTTCTGATTTTGCTTTGATGTTCCCCAGGTGAAGGCTGTGAACCTGTTACCGTGGAAACCATCCCCCCAACTTTTGCTGACATGTTCCTGACCAACTCAGCCAACCTGACTTGCAGAATCTCCAACATCCCTGTCACTGCAGAGTATTCCAAGTTGAACGTCACCTGGACCCGAGCATCGGACCAGAAGCAACTCCCCACTGTGATGACCGACTTCCTAGATCAGGAAAATGAATTTTACTATGTCGACGCTATAGCCACAGTGTGTGCAACAGAATGGGATGAGAAGGAAACCTTTACCTGCAAAGTGACCTTTGAGAACGTACTTGTCAAGCCAGTAGAAAAAACCTTGGAGAAGAAGACTGGTAAGTTTCTAGTTGTGTTGAGCCGTGAAAAGCATTTGGGAGGGGTGTCGCTCGTTCCAGGAGGTTTCCAGATAAATGAGATTAACCTCATGGATTTAGTAGAACCAGAATCCTTAGTTCATCCTTCAGGATATCCCCAAATTATCCTTCTCCAGTTGCTTTGGTTGACATCCCCATGAATCCTATTCTTGATCTGATATTGGTTGACTCCTCCTTAACTCCCATCGAGCACATGTCGTGAGAGTCCAGTTTCTCCATCCACGGTGGTCTACAAACATTTTTTTCTTTCAATTCCACCCTTCTTGAGAAGCACCTTCTCACCTTCCCCTAGGAAAAGTTTGCATACAACCTAAGACCACTCAGATTGACAGACAGCACAAATGTAATTATTTTTAAGGCTGCATTGATCTTGACTGGTTACCTTTATACAGACAGGCAGAATGAACAAAGGGCATCTAATTCTGGCCTAGTTATTCCATATGATCTTTTTTTCCCCTTTCTCTTGTCTATCTTAAGTAGACCTGGCTTCTTCTACCTTTAAGCTAATGAACTAATCTTTGTTCGATGACAAAGAGAAATGTCTTTGACATCTAAGAGTCGAAGGTCTCGCCTAGAAGCAGCTACAGTTAAACATGATCATCATCATCTTTTAACAACCCCATAATCTCTTGTGAGGTGGAGTCTGGGTGACTGAATGGCGCTAGCGGTGTCTTTAACTAGCTGGATGCCCTTTCTGTCATCAATGAGGGACAGTGCACTACAGTTAAAGCATGATAATGTGTACTAAATACAAGTACGCTAATGTATATCCTCACCCTTTTTTCCTTTTCCCATTGTTCAGTCGGCGAACCAAAAGCTCCCTCTGTCTACATCCTTTCGCCTTCCTTAGAAGAGCTGAATTTGCGGGAAAAAGTGACCCTCACATGCCTCATTAAGAACTTTAATCCCGGCAACTTCTTTGTGCGATGGCTCCAGAACGAACAGGCGGTCAGCGAATCAGAATACTTCACCAGCAAAGCCGTAGCAGAGTCCAAAATACAGTCCAATGAATATTTTGCCTACAGCATGTTGAACGTCAATGAACAGGAATGGAGCGCAGGAGATTCCTTCACTTGTGTGGTGGGACATGAAGCCTTGCCCTATGGCTCCATTCAGAAGACTATCAATAAGAACACGGGTAAACCATCCATAGTCAACGTTTCCTTAGTCCTCTCCGACGCTTCCAGCCCTTGCTACTAATTGTCAACCTTCGTTCGCTCTATTCCCCACTCGCCTCTGTTTCTTCTGCTTCCTTGCTGATACTTCGATGGAAAGTTCTCAGCGATGAAGGCAGATTTCTAAGGAAGGATGTGTCCGTGTTAAACCAGCAGCTGGCCACCTCTTTCTGAAGGAATTATCGTATTTTGCAATAAAGTATTTTTTTTCTCAAAACAAAGAAAAGAAAAAATTCTGGCTTTTTGTGATAAATAGGGATGGCGCGCAAGCTAATACTGGAAATGCTGACTTCCTCAGGCACCTTAATCTTTTCACATTTATTTCTTATAACTCCTGTCCTTCATCTTCTTCTATGGCATAACGGTCCTTGTTCTAAGTTGTGCTACCCCTATATCAAACTGGAGAAGAGCTGTTTCAGAAAGCTGGCGGAAAGCTTCCCTTTTCTGTACTGTCAATAGATTATCTACTCTCCACAAAAATGTCCAATTTGGGATTATTCATCTTTTTCAGATCATGCCATTCTGTACAGGCACATCCTCTGAACATACACTTCCCTTTAATTTCTTTAACAAGCAAGGGGGATGTCTCATCCATTGGGTGTTCATCAGAAATTATCTGGGGCAAGAATTACATCCTTTGTACAAGACAAAGAAGTTCTTAAGAAAGTATTTAATGAAAGTCTACAACACACTAAAATAACACCCTCGCAGGTCTTTAAACAGCATAGGAACTTGGTCGCCTGAATAGGAACACAACTAAATAAATATTGAATACTATATCATGCATCTCAGGCTTCACCCAGCTAACACAGCTCTAGGTTCCAAGCAACAGTACATTATTTTTCAGTTCTAAGTGAAGTAAAAATTGTAAACACCAATACAACAAAAAGGATACCCTGTTTCCCCGAAAATAAGACCCAGACGGAAAATAAGTCCCAGCATGATTTTTCAGGATTCTCATAATATAAGCCCTACCGACCCACCCAAAATAAACCCCTGTTAAGATTGTCAACCAGATGGATGCATTTAGTACTGTATTTACCCCAAAATAAGACCTAATCAGAAAATAAGCCCTAATGTGTCTTTTGGAACAAAAATTAATATAAGACCCAGTCTTATTTTCAAGAAAACATGGTACTAAACAACATAAAACATATGCTTCTATGGAGACTCGTCATACACACAATTGTCAAATAGCAAAATGCACAAAATAATAATAATGTTGTTTTGAAAGTCAGGGGGATGATATTAGATTATCCTTCAAAATAATCTAGTCCATTTCAACAATTCTCAGCACACAGATGCTCTTCTATTAAAAAAGAGAGAGAGAGAGAGAAATAACACTGTTTTAAAAGAAACCCACCATTATTTGATTCATTGTGAATGTTTATAATCGTGAAAATAATTTAGAAGATCAAATGCTTAGAACTTCAGGACCGGGATAATAAAAGATTATCCCATGCATAAAAAAAAAAAAAAAGATCAAAAATTGAGGGTTGAAAATCAATGCAATTTAACTAAAGTATCAACCAACAAACAACTAATTGACAAATCACAAACATCTATGAATATTCTTTTATGGGGTTTACCAAACTGAACATTCCAGCATTCTTAAGAAAAGTAATCACTTTGTTTGGACAACAGAGGAGATAAAATGTATCCAAACTGATTTTTTTAAAGCATTAAATAGTTTATACATTAAACAGACCTACAATAAGCTGCTTAAATTTCCCATACACCCTGAAAATTACCCATTGAATGTTTATTTTTTTAAAAAAAAAACACATAACACTGATATTCTTAATAAAAAAAATTATAATTTCCTTTTTTTTTTTTTTTTTGAACAAATGAACTTTGTTGGAGGCTGAGATTTTCATGGTGGGCATCCATGATCTTTAATCTTGTAAGCAGGTAAATGCATTGAAACGTTGGAGGGCTCCCATTGAGCAAATGCAACCAGCCTAAAAACTTCAAATTGATATTCTTCTGATGTACTTGTGTGCTTCGCTTAAAAATACTCCAGACAATTTCTTCTCTGTGAGTTTTAAGAGTTCTAAAATGGCCACCATGCCAGAAAAGGCCAAAGAACTGTCGCTTCTCCTCAAAGAAGGACGTTTTATCCATTACCCTCCACCTAGAAACAAAGAACCTACTCTCTAATAAACAATTTGGTTTCAGAAAAAAAATTATCCTGTAATCTACAACTTCTATACTGCAAAAACATATGGACTACAAATCTCGATCAGGGCAAAGCAATAGATGCAATTTATATAGACTTCTGTAAAGCCTTTGATTCAGTAGTACATGACAAAATACTTCTAAATCTAAACTAAAAGAAAGAGAAGGAAGTGCGCATTGGAGAAATGGTGATCCATGCCCTGAATGCTCTTTTCTTCTCTCCCAACATATGAGAAAGAATATTGACAGTAATATAACTGAGGAAAACTCTTTCATTTGTATTTCATGAGGATGTACTCAAGGGAAGGTCCATAAGTGTTCAATGCTGAAATCCCCTTTCCCATCCATCCTATTCACCATGGCTTCTCAGTCATGTTAAACTATGCGTTCATCAACAACAGCACTTGAAAATACAAAAATCATCCTCTCACCCTCGTCTTTCAGCCAAATACTGGGCATCTTAAACTCAAAATCACATTAGGAAGACCCATCAATTTGAACTCCCAATAACTTTGAATAGATGATAGTCCCCTTAATGTACTTGCGGATCTGACTTAGTTACTTAACTAACCTGTTGTAGCTCATTTTACAGAATAACAGAGTTGTAAGGGACCTAGGAGATCTTCTAGTCCAACCCCCTGGAAACTTGATGCCATTTCAGACAAATGTTGTCCCATCTCTTCTTAAAAACCTCCAGTATTGGAGGACCCACGCTTTCTGGAGGCAAGACATGCCGTTGATTAATTGTTCTAACTGCCAAGACGGTTTTCAGATAGCATGTAAATAATCTCCCTTTGTACTCAAGAAAACTTCTACTACTACTTCAGTTAATATTGTGAAACAGGAATTCAGAATGTACCAATTCGCTCATACATTGGCATTCATCCTGGTAATCTGATGGAAAGGGTAGAAGGATGACTTTAAATACTATAATCCACAAATTCAATTCTAACAAGCCACAAAACTTACTAGATGCTTTGCTCAAACCACTTTCACTTTGTATACTGATTGCAACTTCTTTGAAAGACTCAGATTCATTTAAAATTTTGTTGTTAGTTGGGAAGTCATCTCCGTCCCATTGCGACCCCGTGGATAATGTTCCTCCAGGCCTTCCTGTCCTCTACCATCCTCTGGAGTCCATTTAAGCTCATGCCTACTTGGCTTCAGTGACACCATCCAGCCACCTCGTTCTCTGTCGTCCCCTTCTTCTTTTGCCCTCAAACGTTCCCAGCATTAGGCTCTTCTCCAGTGAGTTCTTCCTTCTCATTAGGTGGCCAAAATATTTGAGGATCTGGCCTTGTAAAGAGCAGTCAGGGTTGATCTCCTCTAGGACTGACCATTTAAAATTAGTGGCACATATTTAAAAAAAAAACTCCCTTCCAAGGACATCCAAAGAATGGGAAATCTCTTTGCCCCAAGTTAGCATGTTTTTTCACAATTGATATATTCTCAATCCTTCCGGAAATTGTAGCCGACTATAATTCACAATCTATGATTACAAATTGAACGGAATGCACTGTATATTCCAGAAGGAGAAATGTTATGTCATAGTTCTGGAAGATATCAAGGAGAGTACCCCATCAAATGAATTCAGAAAGCAAGCTTTCATGTATTCGTGTAATCAAGAATTCATGAAATCAACCTTAAGAGTTCAGTTCTTCAAGTTAATTGCACAAGGTGATAAGTCAATATTGCACCACCTGGCCAACCCAAGATGAAAATTTTTAGATCAGTCAGAACATCCTTGTCCCAACCTGTCCGAACTTTCCAAGTCGACTTTCTTCCCACAGATCTGCAGGATCTTTTGACTTGTGCAGATGCGATGGGTTGAGTCATTCTTCAACCGAGCAATAGTCATCCCTCCTTTGAAAACAGTCTTTGGAAGTCTGTAGTGAGCAGTCCCAAAGATGCTTTTTCAAGGAGGAAACTTGACTTTCTTTGTGTTCTCCATGAAGACGTTTCGCTTCTCATCCAAGGGTCTTCTTCGGTTCTGACTCGATGAGAAGCGAAATGCCTTCAAGGAGAAAATGAAGAAAGTCCAGTTGCCTTTTGAAAAAAAACACCTTTGGGACAAGCATGACCTGGATGACTGAAAATCTCCATAGACATCTGTAGAGAGTTGATGTTGTGACCTAGGCTTCCTGAGTCATTAAAATACACGAGTAGTCCCAAAAACCTCTTTTATTGCAACAGCTGTGAATTACGTTCATTCACAGCTGATTCCTAATTAGTTGCAAAAAGTCCTTCGGGAGAAGTCCTTCGGGATAATCACCAACCTTTATCTCCCTTGACACGCTGCCAAAGACCTACTTGGCAAAGCCACACAGAGTCCAGAACCAAACAGATATGCTGACTGGGAACAGAATTAACAACGTTGCTTTCCTGCAAAGAGCCCATGTGCCTTTGCTCCTCTTTTAAGCCTTATGGGAGGGGCCAATTATCTCCAGGCCTTACTCCCGAGTCGTCCCTATTGTTTTAACTGTTCTTGCCTTCTGGCAGCTCTGCGCATGCGCGCACTAGGAACAAACTCTTCCTGTTCCTCTGCCTCTCTGATGTCCGACTCTGGAGGCTCCTGAGTCCGCGCGCAACTCCCAGATGGCCCTGGCCCCATCTCTGCCTTCGATGCAGAGCCCTCGTCTGAGCCTTCCCCAGACTCCAGGCCCATGGTCCTCCCCAGCCTCCTCACTGTCTGATTCTGGTGCCAGATCTGCAGGCTGCTGGTGGACCACAACAGCAGAGCCCCCTTTCCTTTTTATTCTTTCTTAGAGATAGTCTTAAGAAAGGCCATCTTCCACCACGCCAAGGCTTTACTAAAATAGCTCTTCTTTCCCTGTTGGCTCCCCCTCTGCTTTTCTCCACTATTATTATCTGCCATTAGCTGTCTTTTCGCATATCGCATTTTCCCTACTCTATAACATTTTCATGGCTCTTGCATGCTACCCTTTATCAAATATGCTGTTTAGCTTCAATGCACCCTCACTTCTTTCTGAACTCTAGAAGCTGACCTTCATGTATTGTCCAAAGGTTACGTAGATGGAATTGTGGACACGGAGGATGAAGAAGAATACCAAAACATCTCGTCGATCCTTTCCACTTTCATCATTCTTTTCCTAGTGAGCCTCTTCTACAGTGCCACGGTGACAGTCATTAAGGTAAGACGTGTAGAAGAGAAACAGTAGAGTACATGCTGGTAGAGATGGCCTTCATCGTGTTTTCTACATAGAGAATGGGTCGACTTTAACCTCCAGTTATGTAGTCATCTAGGTCCCCTTTTGGACTGGATATATCTATCACCTATTAATAATATGGAGAGATACGATATACGATTAACAGATTAACAGAGTTGGAAGGGACCACGTAGGTCAGGGGTGTCAAACTCGATTTCATTGAGGGCTGCATCAGGGTTGTGTTTGACCTCGGGCAGGTGGGTGTATGTGGCCAGCATGACATCACTCATGTCAGGGGGCCCTGTGGTGGCCCAGCAAAAACAGGCTCCCGAACGTGGTCCTCCTGAGCTCCATTTTCGCTGGCAGAAGCACCACGGGTTAGTCCTTTGCTGCTTCCAGGGCAGCCTTGCGGGCCAGATCTAAGCACCCCAGAGCTGGATCCGGTCCCCGGGCCTTGAGTTTGATACCCTTGGCGTAGGTCATCTAGTCCAACCTCCCAGCCAAGCAGGAGATCCTATGCCATTTCTGACAGATGGAAGTCCAGCCTTTTCTTGAAAGCTTCCAATGATGAAACTCCCATAACTTCTGAAGGCCAGCTGTTCCATTGGTTGATTGCTCTCATTGTCAGAAAATGTCTCCTTATTTTATTTATTTATTTATTAGTTCGATTTATATGCCGCCCTTCTCCGGAGACTCAGACTCATTTCTAGGTTGAATCTCTCCTTGTTCTGTTTCCATCCATTATTCCTTTGTCTGGCCTTTGGGTGCTTTGGAAAATAGCTTGACCCCTTCCTCTCTGTGGCAGCTCTTCAAATATTAGAAGACTTCTATTATGTCTCCCCTGGTCCTTCTCTTCACTAGATTAGCCATGCCCAGCTCCTGCAATGATATGATCCTTGGAAACCATTTTTGTATGCATTTACCCTTGTGTGCATAATTTTGGTTGCCTGATCTTTCATTAGAAAGCAGTTTCTATTACTACTCAAAATATGTCTCTTTATATTTTTCCACTGCATGGTTTTTACGCTCATCTTTCTGCATTGCAGAAAAGACAAAAGCAAACGCATATTATCAATTTAATGAATGTATGTATATTAAAATTATGGAATAACCAATATCATGTTTATATGTGTATGTGACATAATAGCAGTGTTCCAATATCTTTGTGGGCTGCCACAAAGAAGAGAGAGTCTCCAGACTCTCCAAAGCTTTTCTCCAAAGCACCTGAGGGTAGGACAAGGAGCAATGGGTGGAAACTAATCAAGGAGAGAAGCAACCTAAAACTAAGGAGAAATTTCCTGATAGTTAGAACAATTAATAAGTGGAACAACTTGCCTCCAGAAGTTGCAAATGCTCCAACACTGGAAGTTTTTAAGGAGATGTTGGTAACCATTTATCTGAAGTGGTGTAGTTTTTCCCACTGGACAATGTGGTTAGACTAGAAGACCTCCGAGTTTCCTTCCAACTCCGTCATTCTATTCTATTCTATATCTATATCTATATCTATATCTATCTGCATCTATATCTATCTATATCTATATCCATATCCATATCCATATCTCTCTCTCTCTCTCTCTCTCTCTATCTATCTATCTATCTATCTATCTATCTATCTATCTCTATATCTATCTATCTATCTATCTATCTATCTATCTATTGCTATATCTATCTATCGCTATATCTATCTATCTATCTCTATCTTTATCGCTATCTATCTATCTCTATCTATTTATTATCCATCCATCCATCCATCCATCCATCCATCCATCTCTCTCTTTCTATCTACCTCTACCTCTATCTTCTTTCTTTCTATCTATCTATCTATCTATCTATCTATCTATCTATCTATCTATCTATCTATCTATCTATCTATCTCTATCTCTATCTCTATCTCTATCTATCTAGCTATCATCTAGCTATCATCTATCTACTGTATATCTATCTATTTATTATCCATCCATCTCTCTCTCTCTCTCTCTCTCTCTCTCTATCTATCTATCTATCTATCTATCTATCTCTATCATCTGTCTGTCTGTCTGTCTGTCTATCTATCTATCTATCTATCTATCTATCTATCTATCTATCTATCTATCTATCCATCCATCCATCCATCCACCCATCCACCCATCCATCTCTATCTCTACCCTGTTTCCCCCAAAATAAAACATCCCCTGATAATAAGCCCAATCGGGCTATTGAGTGCATGGCAATAAGGCCAAGTGCTTATTTCAGGGTTCAAAAAAATATAAGACAGGGTCTTATTTTCAGGAAAACATGGTATCTCTCCCTCTCCCTCCCTCCCTCCCTCCCCCCTCCCTCTCTAACCCTCCCTCTCTTTGTCCATCCATCTATCCATCCATCCATCCATCCATCCACCCATCCATCCATCCATCCATCCATCCATCCATCCATCCATCCATCTATTGCTATTCCAAGCAAAACTACAGACTGAGTTGAGAGCAGAAGGGACAGAACAGTTACTAGATGCAAATTTCAAAGCTGTAGATTTGGTAATAATTTGTAACCCATTTTGGTTGTCCAGTCTGCAATGGGAGAACTTGCCGTGGCCAATTGGCTGCAATCAACTTGCCATTGGGACAATTTGCCACAGGACAACTTGCCATGGGATAATCCACCTGGAATAACTCCATGCAGTAAATATTACCTGCCACTGTTTCTTCAGCATTATTTCCCATTGACAAAAATGGAAAGCATGTAGAAGAATCAGTGGCAGATAACATTTGTTGTGTTGAGTTATTCCATGTGGATTGTCTTGCAGTGAGTTGGCTGCAGTGAGTTGTCCTAGACCTGTCCAGTTCATTCCTCTGGTTCAGTGTTTCACCAAGAGAAATCTGCCAGTTGGAAATAGTCCAGATTTTCTTCTTTGTGGTCTATCTGCTCCCTTCCCAACGATCCAACTAGTGGTCAGAGTGCAGTACTACAGCCTACTTCTGCTGACTGCCGGTTGCCTACAATTTGGCAGTTCGAATCTCACCAGGCTCAAGGTTGACACACCCTTCCATCCTTCCGGGGTTGGTAAAATGAGGACCCAGATTGTTGGGGACAACAAGCTGACTCTGTAAACCGCTTAGAGAGGGCTGGAAAGCACCGCGAAGTGGTATATAAGTCTAAGTGCTATTGCTAACTATCCTTTGAAGTCTGTACCTATTTGGTTGCTGTGCCAAACCAGACAGTTATAGAGTTTCAATTCAATTCAATTCAATTCAAATTCAAATCCTTATTGTCAGTGCACAACATATGTACAATGAGATTGGTTGAGCTCCCTCAATAATTCCTCTGTAAAACTGTATCAACAGCTTCTTGGGGCAAATTAAGAAATTTGACTGACCATCTATCTCATTTCTTCTGTTTCAACAGTAACATTTTTGTTAAATCTTATTTCTTATTTCCAGGTGAAATGAAAAAGAGAGATGCTGTTCTTCTACATCTACTTCTGTAAAAGGAGAAAGGATTTATTTGAGAAGAGCTGGAATTTTTTTTACTTTGCTTTGTATCATAGCCTTAAGAGTCCATGTGAGCGGAAACCGCCTGGTTGTTTACAGTTTAGCTCCATGGTGAAATGTTGCTTTTACTCTGTTGCGTCATTTTCTGTGTGACGTATATCTTTGTGGATACTTCTCTGTGTCTCAGTTATAGTCATTGTTTAATCATTGTTATGATTATGATTATTTTTTGTCAGAATGGTCTACCTGATCTGATACTCTAAAGGGGACTTAGAGCACTTTTAATCTTCATGTAAAACAGACGAGATTCGCTGCACAATTCGTATTAATTCGAATGTACTTTTTTTTATATTGAGATTGTCATACAATGTTGCAATAAATATCTATTCTTGATGAATGAACCAGTGGATTCAACGTTTTTTACTATCGGTTCTCTGGGCGTGGCTTGGTGGGTGTGGCATGGCTTGGTAGGCGTGGCTTGGTGGGCATAGCAGGGGAAGGATACTGTAAAATCTCCATTTCCACCCCACTCCAGGGGAAGGATCCTGTAAAATTTCCATTCCCTCACCACTCCAGGGGAAGGATACTGCAAAATCCCCATTTCCTCCCGATCAGCTGGAACTCAGGAAGCAGAGAATAGATGGGGGCAGGGCCAGTCAGAGGTGTTATTTACCGGTTCTCCAAACTACTCAAAATTTCCGCTACAGGTTCACCAGAACTAGTCAGAACCTGCTGAAACCCACCTCTGGAATGAACCGTTTCCTTTGTGAATTGTTACTGGCATTGAAGATGTTCACGTTATATAATAACAGAAGTTATTACAGAACTCCCATTTGCTTCTCAAACCAACTTGGTTAAGCCTGGGAACTGGGTTTCTGAATCTTAAAGTAATTCACGTTGCAAGGTGGGGAACACCGAAGGACAAATCACTTCTCGGATTCTCTCCAATGCCTTTGCAAATATGGGCCATACCTTTGAACTGTAGTGGGTTTCACTTACCTTTGCTACCAGTTCAGAACTGTGAGAGCGCGCTGCGTGTTCGCTTTACTCGTGTGTAGTGCTTCTGCGCATGCGCAGAGCATCCGTGATGACCTCCGGGTGGGTGGGCAGAGCCTCCCACCGCCACCACTACCAGTTTGCCCAAATCAGGGCAAACCAGTAGAAACCCACTACCCGCCTTTGAGGGTGTACAGTAGAGGTAAAAATTGTGGAAACCTTTTGGGGAAAGTGTATTTTTGAGGTTTGATGGCTAATAACACCACTTTTTTGGGGGAGTTTCAAGATAATCATAATCCACTGCTGGAATGGCCTGGGAATAGCCCAGACCTTAACCCAATTGAAAACTATGGAGCCGACTAAAGAGACTTGTTAGTCAGAAGCGACCCAGCAATAAAACCTAGTTAATAGAAGCCATCATTCAATCTTGGTTTCACATTATAATAGCTGCAGAACTAAAAGACTTGGTTCACTCCATGGGAAGATGTTGTAATGCCGTAATTCATGCTAAAGGTTACCCAACAAAGTATTAACTGACATGGTGATCATTTTTGTATGTCTCATTTTTTTCTACGTGTTTCACTTTTCTTCTTTATGCTCTAACTGCTATACTAATAGCAAATCCTCCATAAAAGATATTGCATTACTTTCTTGATTAAATTATCTTTCCACTGATATATAATTTGATGGTACTATTCCCCCAAAAAAGTGGCGTTATTAGCTAGTTTTAGAAAATACACTTTTCCCAAAAGGTTTTCCCACAATTTTGGCCACTACTGTATATGCATTGGGAAATGTGGAATAGGATGCCTAAATTGATTATGGGTAACCGAACTGGGAGGAGAAGGCAAGGGGATAAAAATAAAATAGTGGGTAATATTTTTCTGCTTTGGTCAATTTTTTTCACTTACAAGGGTTGTAAAAGCAGTATTTATGGATCCAGGGCCATTTTAAAGCACAATCTTCCCTTGGACAGCATCTCACATACAACACACACACACACACACACACACACACACACACACACACACACACCAAAGATGATCCCATTTGCAGAGTAATATCCTACTTAGCGACAGACAGACTTCCAGATCCAAACTTCCATACTGGAGTGGAAAGAATTACCAAGATGACTAGATTCTGTGATGGTCAAAGCTGTTTCCTCCAGTTGGTGTCGCAAGGTTATTTGCGCTACATATTCAGGGCATACGCGGGAGCAAAATTCCCCAGACACCACAAAAACTTGTTTGGATGGAAAGGCCATAAAGGTTAAGCAAACTCAGTTTTTCTTTTATGCCCCAAAGTGTGCCAGGTATCAAAGCTGTATTGAATAGGCCAAGGAGATGGAACGTAGAATAATAGAGTTGTAAGGGACGTCAGAGGTCTTCTAGTCCAACCTCCTACTCAAGCAGGAGACCCTATACCATTTCAGACAAATGGTTGTCCAGCCTCTTTTTGAAAGCCTCCAGTGATGGAGTACCCACAACTTCTGAAGGCGAGCTATTCCATTGGCTGATTGCTCTTGCCGTTAGGAATTTTCTCCTTGGTTCTGGTTGCTTCTCTCCTTGGTTAGTTTCCATCTATTGTTTCTTGGTGTACACACTCTTCTGCACAGGCATGGCAATACACACACTCTGCACTCATCCCAAAGGTGCTTTTTCAGGAGGCAACTGGACTTTCTTGTTTTTCCTTTTGAATACATTTTGCTTCTCATCCAAGAAGCTTCTTCAGCTCTGACATGATAGTGGGGAATGGAAGGATTTATCCTCCTTGCAGACAGCTGGTCATTTGCATCCTTTTATAGGGTTGTTGAAGCCCTTGGAGGTTTGTCTGTGTCCTCAGGGTCACCTGAGTATTTATTTTATTTATTTATTTATTTTATTAAATTTTTATACCGCTCTTCTCCCTAAGGACTCAGGGCGGTGTACAGCCAGAAATAAAACCCACAACTATATGAAAGTTAAAAGACAATTTAAAAATATTAAATAATTTGGCTGAAAGAGCTAAAATAGAAACCACCCATTAAAATAGCATTTAGGCCAGCCCTGCTTGGTGAAACAATAACGTTTTGAGGGTGTGGTGAAAGGTGTGAAGGTCAGGGATCCTACGAATCTCCGAGGGCGGCTCATTCCAGAGGGCAGGTTTCCCCACAGAGAAGGCTCTCCCCCTGGGGGTCGCCAGTCGACATTGTTTGACCAACGGCACCCTCAGGAATCCCTCTCTGTCGGAGTGTGCTGGTCAATGGGAGGCTATCAGTGGCAGAAGGCGGTCTCGTAAGTACCCGGGTCCTAAGCCATGGAGCGCTTTAAAGATGGCAACCAACACCTTGAATTTGAGTAGTGCAAATGGTGCCTGTAGTCTGTAGATTTTTTTTTTCCTCTGGAAATCCATTCCTGCTCCCACACCATTCAAAAGGTGTTCATCTCAAATTGTATAGCTAAATGTCTGTAGAGATTCTCAGTCACCCAGGTCATGGTTGTCCCAAAGGTGCTTTTTCAGGAGGCGACAAGAGTTTTTCTTTTGAAGACATTTCACTTCACATCCAAGAAGCTTCTTCATCTCCGACAGGATGGTGGGGAATGGAAGGATTTATATTCCTTGCAGACAGCTGGTCATTTGCATTCCCCACTATCCTGTCAGAGCTGAAGAAGCTTCTTGGATGTGAAGCGAAACTTCTTCAAAAGAAAAACAAGGAAGTCCAGTTGCCTCCTGGCACCTTTGGGACAACCATGACCTTGGGACCAACAATGGATGATGAATCTACAGAATCTCTACAGACTCTTCACTCCCACTTACTTCAGTCATAGTCAATTGATCTGCAGAAAAGGTAACTGTGAACAAATCTTTTGGCCAAAGACCAACCTAAGGTAATACATAAAGATTCATTTAAGCAAAACCATGTTTAAATTGTCCCACACGTGCTTTTCAAAAGGCAACTGGACTTCCTTGGGTTTTTTTTGTTTTGTTTTGTTTTTTTGAAAACATTTAGCTTTTCATCCAAGAAGCTTCTTCAGTTCTGTCTGAATGGTGGGGAGTGGAAAGATTTATATTCCTTGGTAGTCATCTGGTCATTAGCACTCTGTAGGTCCGTCATTAGCTTAACAAATACTTCAGAGTGCTAAAATGAGAGAGAAAAACGGGCCTACCAGGCCATCATGTGCCAAGAGTGGGGCAGAGGGGGGGTTGTACGTAGGCTGGGGCACATAGAATTATGGGTGTGGGCACGCGTGTGCACAAACCTCCCCTGCTCCCCCTCCTGGCACACGATGGCAAAATGGACTGTAATTGGTGTTCATGGATGGGCTTTGCTAACAGAGTCTTTTGTAACAGAATGCATGAGTGACCTTGAGAAAAGAGAAGAATTGAATTGAATTGAACGCTTTATTTGGTCAAGTGTGATTAGACATACAAAAATCAGAAGGGGGGAGGACGCTGCAGTCGCTTAACCATCAGAGAAAACTTTCAGATGTTGGTCTTCCTAGGTAAACTAGAAAGGAAACATGACCAGATTCACTAAATCTACTTTACTGTAAGCCTACATTAAAATGATCTTGCAAGTCTGAAGGTAAAACACACACCATTTATGTCCCGAAAATCCACGCATAGACGCAATGACCCATTGCGCCATTAGGGTGAATCTTTCCTTAGCATCTTTCTCTGACAAGCAACTGTAGGATTATCCCCCTTCTTGTCTGATTGTTTCCTAAGCAGCATCTCTTCTTTATGCTCAAGGTCACGGATTCATTCCATTGTATCTTTCGGTGAAGCTTGGCATTCAGATAAATCAGCATCAACAGACAAATAGAGATAAACTACGTTTACACCCCATTCGAAAGAAAAATTTTAAAAAAGCTAAGAAGGAAATGAAAAAACCAGAACACATTCTCTCAAGCAACTGAGACCCAGATAAGCAGAGATTAACACCAGACAAACAAACAGAGAACAATACCCAAATCAGGAAATTACCAAAGAGAAAACATTTGCAGAGCAAGCTACTATATATAAACAGGAAGCAATACCCACATTCACTAGTTATGATGACATTACCTAATGAAATAGCTTCAAGCCAAATGGGGAACGGAAAGATTTATGAAACTTAGCAGTCTGGTCATTAGCACTCTGAAGTATTTGTTAAGCTAATGACGGACCTACAGAGTCCTAATGACCAGATGACTGCTAAGGGTCATAAATCTTTCCATTCCCCATTTGGCTTGAAGTTATTTCATTAGGTAATGTCATCCTAACTAGTGAATGTGGAGATTGCTTCCTGTTTATATATAGTAGCTTGCTCTGCAAATGTTTTCTCTTTGGTAATTTCCTGATTTGGGTATTGTTCTCCGTTTGTTTGTCTGGTGTTAATCTCTGCTTATCTGGGTCTCAGTTGCTTGAGAGAATGTGTTCTGGTTTTTTCATTTCCTTCTTAGCTTTTTTAAAATTTTTCTTTCGAATGGGGTGTAAACGTAGTTTATCTCTATTTGTCTGTTGATGCTGATTTATCTGAATGCCAAGCTTCACCGAAAGATACAATGGAATGAATCCGTGACCTTGAGCATAAAGAAGAGATGCTGCTTAGGAAACAATCAGACAAGAAGGGGGATAATCCTACAGTTGCTTGTCAGAGAAAGATGCTAAGGAAAGATTCACCCTAATGGCGCAATGGGTCATTGCGTCTATGCGTGGATTTTCGGGACATAAATGGTGTGTGTTTTACCTTCAGACTTGCAAGATCATTTTAATGTAGGCTTACAGTAAAGTAGATTTAGTGAATCTGGTCATGTTTCCTTTCTAGTTTACCTAGGAAGACCAACATCTGAAAGTTTTCTCTGATGGTTAAGCGACTGCAGGCTCCTCCCCGCTTCTGATTTTTGTGTGTCTAATCACACTTGACCAAATAAAGCGTTCAATTCAATTCAATTCTTCTCTTTCCTCAAGGTCACTCATGCATTCTGTTACAAAAGACTCTGTTAGCAAAGCCTATCCATGAACACCAATTACAGTCAGGGGACAATAAAAATTCCTTAATCTCACAAAACATTGACAGACCCAGCCATAGTTTCAGACTGGAAATTGTGAACATCCTAGACCAGTTATGGCTAACCTTTTTGCCACCACATGCCAGGAAGGTGGGGGGAGCAGGGGAGGTTCGTGTGCACGTGTGCCCACACCCATAATTCTATGTGCCACGCCCTACGCACAACCCCCCTCCCCTCCGCTCTTGGTACATGATGGCCCAGTAAGCCCGCTTTTCTCTCTCATCTGGCTCCAGATCCTCTCTGCATCTGGGGAGGGCAAAAAGAACCTTCCCCACTTCTCGGAGGCCCTTTGGAGGCCTGAAATGGCCCATTTCCCAACACTCGATTGGACAGGAAGTGACTTTTTTGCTGTCCCCAGCCTCCAGAGCCTCTATCCTCTCCTCTGCCTTCTGCGCATCCGCGCATCAGGCACTGGACCCAGCTGTTCCTCATCATCATCATCATCAGCCACCTCCAGACCTGGGGGCTGTTGACTCTCCATCTGAAGGCTGACAGATGGCCCAGGTTCTGCCTCTGTCTCTCTATTTGCCAGCTCCATTCCCTCTTCCCCTTCAGAGCTCGCAGGTTGCCTTGATGCTGGCCATGACTCCACACCACCTTCTCCTCCTCTGATTCAGCTGCTGGAGGGACCAGTCCCTGACAGGCCACAACACAGTGCTGATTTACCATTAGCTCACCAAGTACTTAGGAGGTGAGGGCTTGGCAGCACAGGGAAACAACAATCAGTGACTTAATAGCTAGCAATCAACAACTAAAAATCCACACACAACAGGCACCATATAAATACCACACACCAAACAGCTCAAAGCACACACTTTGCTAGAGAGAAGTTCCCTGAGGATGGGTTCCAGCATGAATCAGAAAGCTTGGAAGACTAAATCTCTGGTCCCGGTGACTGATCCAGATTGGATTCTGCTATTAATTTAATTAAATTTAACTTGGACTAACTGAATTTGTTTTAAAATTGGTTTCCAACCTGTAATGTTTCCTGTCACTTCTCATCACTTTCCTCTCCTTCTTCGTTGATGTGGTCCGCCAGCAGCCTGCAGATTTGGACAGTGAGGAGGTTGGGGAGGAATGTGGGCCAGTCCTGGAGTCTGGGGAAGGCTCTGATGAGGGCTCTGAGTCAGAGGCAGAGAGGGGGCCAAGGCCATCTGGTAGTTCTTTGCTGCCTCCAGAGTCTCAGGAGTCTGACATCAGCGAGGCAGAAGAACAGTGTGTACATGTGCAGAGCTGCCAGAAGGCAGGAACAATTAAGAAAACAGGGTCAACTTGGGAGTAAGGCTTGGAGATGACTGGCCCCTCCCATAAGACATAAAAGAGAAGCAAACGGGATGTGAGTTTGTGGAGGAAGCATCTGGTCAGTAAAAGCTCTGGAAAAGCTCTGTGCTAAGTTTGGCCTTGCCCTGTGTTTGGCAATTAGTTCTCTGGCAGCATTCCAAGGGAGATAAGGTGGGTGTTTGTAAACACTCCCCTGAAAGACTGTTTGAGAAGCCTTTCAGACTGGGAATGACAATAATTCAAAGCCGTTTGAATTAAAGAGGTTTGCCGGTACTAAGTTTGTGCTGTATACTTTCTAAGGAAGCCTAGGTCAGAACATTCTTGTTTTTTTTTCCCCTCTCCTACAGAGACAGTAAAAAATCCTTCCATCCTTCCACTTTGGCCCTGCTGTAGCTCCAGCAAGGAAGATACTAGTATGGTAACTTTTGCTTGCCTGCTCATTGAACACGGTACAAAGTCTTTGGAAATCACATGGGAACCTAACACTCCAGAACCGAAAAAATTCTCAACTCAGCAAATGAGTGGACCAAACCTGTTCACAACAAGCCAACTCACCGTCTCTTCCTCCAGCTCGTCCGAAGTTCAATACAAATGCTTTGTAAAAGAAAAGAAAGAACTTCCCCCAGCTATCTTCACAAACAAATGTAAGTTTCTTCAAGAGGGTAAATAATGTGACGTTAAGCCTGATGGGTAAATATGGAGCTGGGACTCTGCCAGGTGTGTAGTTTCAACTTGGAGGGACAGTGGCGTGCATAAAAACAGAGAAGGTGACTATAGAAGGAGGCATCTATATGGTTTTCTTGGCAACAGCATAGAAGTAGTTTTCCTGTTTCCTTCTTTTGGGATTTTTTTTATTTCTGAGTCCAGCCTATTTTCTTAAACTCTCCAATTCAAATACTACCAGTGATGGGATTCAGCCGGTTCAGGCCAGTTCAGGTGAACTGGTAGTTAAGCTGCTGGCTGGCCCACTCCGATGCTTCCAGGAGACCCCATGCGCCCTATTTTGGCTCCCAGGTAAGTGCAGGGAGGCCTAATAGGCCCACAATGGGGCACGGGGGGAGTGTGGTGCCCTCCATGGCCTGTTTTTGCTCCCAGGAAGCTTCAGGGAGCCAACTAGGCCCATAACAGGGCACAGGGGGTGTGGCGCGCCCCCCTGACCCGTTTTCACTGCAGGGAGGCCTACTAGGCCCAAAATGGGGCACAGGGAGGCAGCCCATCCCCCCGTGGCCTGTTTTTGCTCCCAGGGGGGTGCAGGAGGCCATGCCCACCATGGCCACGCCCACTCAGCCGGTCATTAGGGCAGAGAACCAGTTATTAAATTATTTGAATCCCACCAATGAATACCACCCAGACCTGATGTTGCTTAACCTTCTGAGTCCAAATGAGATTAGATGGGCACCACACTTGTTGAGGGCATGCTATAATCACCTTCAGGTCTCCTGATGACAGGACAGCATTAAGACAGGGTTGCTCATCAGGAGAATCTGGAGATGATCAAAGGTCTAGGTCCTGAAGATAACATCCTGTTCAGATTTTTTGAACTGGTTGTCAAGTTGCTTCTTAAGTCAGTTAAGTTTAGCGTCCTTGACCTTCAAAAATAGAAATTAATTGGGACTAGGATAGAACAGAATAACAGGGTTGGAAGACACCTTGGAGGCAGTGGTGGGCTGTAACCAAATCGGTGATTGCGCTGTTTTCATGTGCACATGCGCTTCACATTTGCATGCTCCTAACGCGCTTGTGCGCAACATTCAAAATACAGCAATTTGAAGCTCAGCTGCTTACCTTCTAAGGCAGCCGCGGTAAGTAGAACAGCAGAGGCACGGAAATCAGCTGTGTCACATGAATCTGCTGAGCCAGAAATATAGGACAGGATAGGGCGGGGGCTGGTGGATCGGGCCAGCTGATTGTCGGAACTTCTGATTCACTTGAACCGGTCCAAACCGGCAGCAGCCCACCACCGCTTGGAGGTCTTCTCGTCCAATCCCCTGCTCAAGCAGGAAGCCCTTTGCCATTTCAGAAAAGTGGCCGTCCAAGCTCGTGTTAAAAAAACCTCCAACCACAAATATCACAGGAAGCTTATCCTACCCCTTCTAAAGTAGATCTCACTGCAAAAGGCCCATTGGAATCTAAGTTTAGCTTGTTTCCTATACATTTTTTAAGTTAAGGAGAAACAGCTGATGGTCTCTACGTTTGCTATTTGGGCAGTGGTGGGCTGCTGCTGGTTCAGACGGGTTCTGGCGAACCTGTAATTGTGACCTGCAGGTGGGCCCGCCCACCTGCCCCGGCACTATGCCACCCTATTTAGTTGTGTTTTTTAAGCTACGCACATGCGTGCAAGTGTGCGCACGAGCAAAGTGCATGCATGCGTGCACACTCACATTTTCAGTGCTGGGGTGAACCAGTTATTAATTCATGTGCCACCCACCTCTGGGCTGAATGCAGTGGTGAAATCTAAAATTTGTTACAATCGGTTCTGTGGGCGTGGCTTGGTATGTGGGGGGGTAATGTGACTGGGTGGGTGTGGCCAATTTTTTTTTTTTTTACTTTTAAAACCCTTTTTTCTACAACCTCTTCCCCGAAGAGGTTGTAAAAAAATGCTTTCAAAAGGATCCCAGCTGAGTTGCCTGATTGGCAGAGACTTTTTTTTCTTTTAAATGCCTCTGATGATCAGGCAACTCAGCTTGAATCGTCAGAGGCATTTAAAAGAAAAAAAGGCTTTGTTTTTTCTTTTAAAAGCCTTTGAGGATCCTATCTGAGCCACACGATCATCAGAGGCTTTTTCTTTTTCTTTTAAAAGCATTTTTTCGACCGAAGAGGTTGTAGAAAAAAATGCTTTTAAAAGTAAAAAAAAAGTCTCTGATGATTTTGCGGCTCAGCTGGGCAGGGGGGCGGGGGGGCAGGGATTTTTGCTACTGGTTCTCTGAACTACCTGCCTCCATCACTACCAGATCGGGTGATCCAGTCTGAACTGGGAGCATTTCACCCCTGGCAGAATGCCAGGAAGACAGCTTAATAAATAGTCTTCTCTAAGTACAAACATTTCTTAAGTATGGCTCTTCTAACAAAACAACAACATTTTTCTACTTTGTATTCTCAGATTGCATTTTGCAACCTTTGAAACCAGTTGATGTTCAGATCTTAACCCCCAGTTGTGGCAAACAGAGCTCAGTGGCCAACGTGGAGCTGGTATGCTTTCTGAGAAGCTTTAGCGGTGGAAAAGCTGAGGTGGAATGGCTGAAGAATGGAGTACAGCTCCAAGGGAAAGAAGAGGTGGCATTGAGAGCCGATGTAGGAAAGAGTAGCGGTTACTCCAGTTTCATCCACCTGAACATCAGCAAAGAGAGTTGGGACAAAGGAGACCTCTACACCTGTAAAGTGACGCGCCCGCCAGGCAGTCAGAACGTCACAATGCAGAATGCCAGCAAATGTCAAGGTGAGCGTTACCACCCTAAAGTATCAAGAGTTTATGGGCTATAAAATGATGGAGGGGTAGGAAGCAATCCAGGCAGATCATCTGTCAGGGTTCCAAGTAATGCATCCATTTCAAAACAGAACATCTAATGCAGGAGTCTCTAACTTTCTGGTTTTGTGTACCAGCAGAGTTAGCAGGGGGGGAAGAGGGAATGCTTCCACACAAGCAGCGGGTGCAGGAGTCTGCACATGAGAATGGGGCCTCGTTTGTGAGCATGCACACTCGGCATCTGCACAAGTGGAGCTTCACATGTGAGCACACTCATCCGCCCAAATTTTCACTCCCTTTTAGGGGGGGGAAGGTGTGTCTTATACTCCGAAAAATACAGTAGATAGATGTAGATGTAGATGTAAATATATAAACATAAATGTTGATATTAGAGCTTTGGTGGCGCAGTGGTTAGAGTGCAGTACTGCAGGCTACTTCTGCCGGCAGCCTGCAATTTGGCAGTTCGAATCTCACCAGGCTCCAGGTTGACTCAGCCTTCCATCCTTTTGATCTGTCCCCGTCCACACACACACACAAACACAGCCAGCCGAGGGTTAAGGAAGCACTTGGCACACACCCAGGTCTTTATCTCCAACTTGGCAGTGATATACACACCGTCTGCCAAGTGCTTTATTTCCACAGAAACAGAAAGATAATATACTCAGCGTACAAGAGTCCAACAGAAATAAATATTCCTCTCAGCAGTTTCGGACGATGCTTTAGTGACTATCCAAGGTTTATTTTTGTTCGTCACAGGGATCACTGGCCACCACCCTCTATTATATAGTCTCTGGGGTGTGGTCCAGTGACTCAGTTCTAATCCCTAGCATGCCTCCTGAGCTGCTGCAATCGTTTATCACGCCTTCAGTGGCGTGCATCCAGGAATGATGTCTCTCCTTCACTCTCATCTGAGACACCTGTCTCCCGGCTAATCTCCTCTCCCTCAGCCGGCACCTGAGACAGTGCCAGAGGGGAGGGGCCTGGAGAGGGAGGCCTGGCTGACTCCTCTTCCTCATGCTCGGAGCTTTCTTCCTCCGATGGGATAGGCTCAGAGGGCGGGGCCACAACACCTTTACAAGGTTGGTAAAATGAGGACCCAGATTGTTGGGGGCAAAAGGCTGACTCTGTAAACCGCTTACAGAGGGCTGGAAAGCACTGTGAAGCGGAATATAAGTCTAGGTGCTATTGCTATTTTCATATGCAGCTTTTCAAAGAGCATCTTCCTTGGTTTTCTTGAGTTTCCTTATCTTTAAAGAAGCTACTAAAACTTGCAACTTCTTAGCAAGTATGTCACGGTTAATGAATTATTAAAGATTAAAAAAAAACCCACTATTCTCAAATAGTATTATAATCCTTGTGTCATTTCTCTCCTGGCTTTCATCCACAGTGTGCTACGGTTGCATGCATCAACCCACCATATTTTTTACCAAGCCATCTTACAAAAGCCTGCTTGATAGGTCAGCCATCCTGGTCTGCACCGTGATCTCTTCTAACCTGGAGAGTGCTCAGATCACCTGGCTTGTGGATGGCAAAGCCAGCAGTGATGTCGTGAACGAGATGGTGACGACGGATGATAACGGAAGTCAGAAGTTGAGAAGCAACCATTCGGTGTCTTTGGAACAGTGGACGAAGGGCACCGTCTTCACCTGCAAAGTAACCGGGAGCTGCTTTGAAGAACACCGAAAAGACATCACCATCAAGAAGCCTACTCGTGAGTAGATCGCCGAGCCCCTTAAAACGCCGCTCCGTCGAGCAAGCAGGAATCGCGTGTCTTCAAAAAATTTTTTTAAAAAGTATTAATATACAAAACAGGAATCATGTATATCATGTACAGGAATCGTGCGATAGGAATTATGCACCCTTGGTTATGAGCGATTTCATTAAAGTAGAATTTCTCCGAACTTTTTGAATTTGCTTTTCCTAAGTGTTTTGCATCTTGGGCTGATGTTGAGGTGACCAAGCTACCAAGGAGTTCTTCTCATATTGGTTGAGTTCTGGGATTTCCCCCAAGTTCTTTTGCAACCTCTTCACAATGGTCTATATGGCCTGTCTTCACAAATTCACCCTTTCCTCCCTTGCCGTTTTGTCTCCTTCCATGTTTTCTAAGGCCCGAAAACAATAGCTGGGAGGGTGATGTGTACAGACTGCTCATAATATTTTAATGTCTATTGATAGCAGGATTTTTTTTAAAAAAATGGCAACTAAGAGAATAACAAAATAACAGAGTTGGAAGGGAGCCTTGAAGTCTTCTAGTTCAACTGCCTGCTCAAGCAGTAAACAGAGGTGGTATTCAGCTGGTTCGGGCAAACTGGTAGCAGCAATCTGCAAGTGGGCCCTGCCCACCCACCCGGGGCAATCCCGTCCTATATCGCTGTGGTTTTGACACTGCACGCATACGTGGATGGTGCATGAGAGCAAATTCCCGTGTTGTTTAATGTCTCACGCATATGTGGATGGTGTGCATGAGCGAATTCCCATGTTGTTTGACGTTGCACGCATGCACGGATGGTGTGTGAGAGCTAAGCAAGCGGGTGCACGAGTGAGCAGGTGCTTGAGCGAGCGAGCACGCTCACATTTCTGGTGCTGGGCGAACCGGTGGTGACAGAATGTGAAGCCCACTTCTGGCAGGAAACCCTATAACATTTCAAACCAATGGTTGTCCAATGTCTTCTTTAAAAATCTCCGGTGTTGAAACACCACAACTTCTGAAGGCAAACTGTTCCACTCATTAATTGTTCTCCCTGTCAGGAAATTTCTCCTTAGTTCCAGGTTGTTTCTCTCCTTGATTAGTTTCCATCCATTGCTTCTTGCCTGCTTTTAGGTACTTTGAGAATAGGTTGACCTCCCTCTTCCTTGTGGAAGCCCCTCAGTGTTTTGCCCCAGCTACGGACCCCAAAGAATGCAGCACACACAAAAACTATACAAAGCTTATTTTACTCAAATAACTCAGTCTTTTTCAATCAAAGGCTGTTAATAAACTTCCTTAACAGCCTACAAGCATTCTAAGATAAGGTAATCACAGTCTTACGAGAGTTGGCAGAAAGCCCAGAAGTAATTTTGCAGAGAATCCAGACGCGAAGGAGAATGAACTAAAGTTGTTCCCTACAGCTTGCTGCAAACGGTGTTCCTCCTTAAATAAGCTAAGGGAGTGGCCAATTAGCCCCAAGCCTTACTCTCGAGGAGACCTCCTCCTGAGGAGCCACTCCTGCCTTTTGGCAGCTCTGTACGCCTGTGCATTGAGAAGAGGCTCCTCCTCTTCGTCCTCTTCACTTAAGGGAGCTTCTGGAGGTTCTGAAGGCCCTGGCTGAATCTCCGCCTCTGGCACCACATCTTCTCCAGCCTCCTCACTGTCTGACTCAAGCGCCAGCTGCACAGACTGCTGGCGCAGCACCACACCAGCCTCCTCGTTGTTGGAATCAGCTACAATCCACACAGGCCGCTGACGGGCCACAACAATCAGATATTGGAACACTGTTGTCATGTCACCTCTATTTCTACACAAACAGAAGTTTTCTGATGCAACTATCTTGCGAGAACAATTGGAACTGAGGAGTTGACCGAGGGAGATTTCTTCAAATCCAATCTTCTAGCAAATAGAAAAAATTCTCATACAAGATATGCCAAAACACATCTTGAGTGGCAGTGTGAAAGGTTTAGACAACGACTGGGAAAAGTCTCCAGCTCCCAGCCTAAAAGCCTCATAAGAGCCTTGGTGGCTCAGTGGTTAGAGTGCAGTACTGCAGGCTACTTCTGCTGACTGCAATTTGGCAGTTCAAATCTGACCAGGCTGAAGGTTGACTCAGCCTTCCGTCCTTCTGAGGTGAGTAATATGAGGACCCAGATTGTTGTGGGCAATAGGCTGACTTTGTAAAACCACTTAGAGAGGGCTGTAAAGCACTGTAAAGTGGTATATAAGTCTAAGGGCTATTGTTACAGTCATGGTATTAGTGAAATGAACAGCACAGACATACAATAAATTTAAAAAATAACAAAACAAAACAAAACCTTTTGTAAAATAGCTCCAAGCCACAGCTTCTTTCAACAGGCATTATCAGTCCAGGAGGATTCCACTTATGTGCCCTGGTCTCCCATGGGAAAGTGCAACCACATTAGAAACTAACTTTTAGGCAAGAAAAACAAAATGCACAGATACAGTATACTGTATGTGGTACCTTGCTCAATAGTAGTAACTGTGAGAGGGATCTTGGATTCCTAGTGGACAACCATTTAAATATGAGCCAGCAGTGTGCAGCAGCTGCCAAAAAAGCCAACACAGTTCTAGGCTGCATAAACAGAGGGATAGAATCAAGATCACGTGAAGTGTTAATACCACTTTATAATGCCTTGGTAAGGTCACACTTGGAATACTGCATCCAATTTTGGTCGCCACGATGTAAAAAACATGTTGAGACTCTAGAAAGAGTGCAGAGAAGAGCAACAAAAATGATGAGGGGACTGGAGGCTATAACATATGAAGAACAGTTACAGGAACTGGGTATGTCTAGTTTAATGAAAAGAAGGACTAGGGGAGACATGGTAGCAGTGTTCCAATATCTCAGGGGCTGCCACAAAGAAGAGGAAGTCAAGCTATTCTCCAAAGCACCTGAGGGCAGGACAAGAAGCAGTGGGTGAAAACTAATCAAGGAGAGAAGCAACTTAGAACTAAGGAGAAATTTCCTGAGAGTCTGTTGTGGGCCGCCAGCGGCCTGTGTGGATGGTTGCTGATCCCGACAACAAGGAGGCTGGTGTGGTGTCGCGCCAGCAGCCTGTGCAGCCGGCGCTTGAGTCAGACAGTGAGGAGGCTGAAGAAGATGTGGTGCCAGAGGCGGGGATTCAGCCAGGGCCTTCAGAACCTCCAGAAGCTCCTTTAAGTGAAGAGGATGAAGAGGAGGAGCCTCTTCTCGATGCATGGGCGCACAGAGCTGCCAAAAGGCAGGAGTGGTTACTCAGGAGGAGGTCTCCTCGAGCGTAAGGCTTGGGGCTAATTGGCCACTCCCTTAGCCTATTTAAGTTTGCACGCAGCTTGTAAAAAGCTGCAGGAAACAACGTTTGTTCGCTCGCTGTTCATTGAGTTTGGATTTTCTTTGCAAACCTTGCTTCTGGGCTTTCTGCCAACTCTAGTAAGACTCTATCTTATCTGTGGAATTTCTGGCAGGTTGTTAAGAGTGTTTTATTAACAGCCTGCATTTGCAAAAGACTGTGTTTTGAAGTAAATGGAGTTTTGTTTGAAGTTTGTGTGTGCAGCATTCTTTGGGATCCATAGCTGGGGTAGAACAGAGTCAGAACAATTAATCAGTGGAACAACTTGCCTCCAGAAGTTGTGAATGCTCCAACACTGGAGGTTTTTAGGAAGATGTTGGATAACCATTTGTCTGAAGTGGTGTACGGTTTTCTGCCTAAGCAGGGAGTTGGACTAGAAGACCTCCAAGGTCCCTTCCAATTCTGTTATTCTATTCTAAATCTTCTGAAAGAATCCTATTTCATTCCTGGCCTTCTTTCCATCACAACACTTTGGGAGTTTCAAAATTAATATCAAGGCCTTTGACTCATTCGGTTGAAGTGATGTTCTCAACAGGAGAAAGTACCATGCTTTTTTTCCCCATTTTTAAACACCTGCATGTTTTTTTCCTTTTCTTTTTCTGTTTAGAAATGCAAGCACCCTCCGTCATCATTTCTCGAGCCCCACTAGAGATTTCTCTCAAGAGCACCACAGCTCTCATTCTCGTCTGTGATGTGAGCGGATTTTCCCCAGCGGAGATTAGCATCTCGTGGGAAAGAAATAACGTATCCCTGAGCAAAAATCTGTACAATAATGGGATCGCCACAGAAACGTCAAATGGGTATTCGGTGTACAGCATCTTGAAAATCAGCCGAGATGAGCCAGGAGGGAAAGGAGGCAGCTACTGCTGTATAGTCCACCATCCCGCTTCTCAAATCCCATACGTGGCCTATGAAAAGGTACCCATTGGTAAGTGGACCTTCTAAGGTGGTCGCGGAAGATATCATGATGAGTCACATGGCGTGGTGGAACTTCTACAACGCCTTCTTAACTGAAAAGGGTTAAAAAGCTAATAGATCACAAACATCCTTTGGTTGAGCACTTCATCATGACCGAGAGGCAGGTCCCTTAATAGAAAGAAGAACCCACCCATTGAAAAATATCCTTATCTATGGTGCTACATGGTTATTATTCTCAGGAGCCCAAGTGAAAATGTACCGTATTTTTCGGACTATAAAATGCTCTGAAGTATAAGACGCACCTAGCTTTTGGGGATGAAAACAAGAAAAAAAAATCTGCCTCTGCCTCCCAGAAATTTGCCTCCTTGCAGCAAACAGCAAACAGCCTGGTCAGCTTCAGCACAGCCTGATTTAGCATGAGCAGCTGATTGGCAGTGGGATCTGCCTCCCAGAATACCTATCAGCTGTTCCAGGCTGCACGGATCGCCACTGCCCATCAGCACCATCGGCGCCTATTAACGCCATCAGCGCCCATCACCACTGCCACCTATCACTGCCACCACCTATCACCACCTCCACACACCACATTTTTGGCCTCTGCACATCCCATTTTCGGCCTCCAAGCATCTCATTTTTGGCCCATTCCAGGTGGCAGGGATTGCCGCTGCGGCTTGGAACAGGCCAAAATGGGATGCATGGAGGTTAAAAATGGGGTGCACAGAGGTGGCGATAGGTGGTAGCAGCAATGGGCGGTGGTGCTGCTGATGGGCGATGGAGATCCCCGCAGCCTGGAACAGCTGATCAGTGGGAGGCAGATCCAACCGCCAATCAGCTGCTCATGCTAAATCAGGCTGTGCTGAAACTGACTAGGCTGTTTGCTGTTTGCTGCAAGGAGGCAAATTGCTGGGAGGCAGAGGCTGAAGGGTGGGGGCCAGCAGATGGGTGGGGCTTCGGCAACATTCACTGTATAAGACACACAGACATTTCCACCCACTTTTTTTGGAACTGGCTGACCATCTCAGCCCACTGAGCCTCCAGGTGCCAGTACCTGGCCTTGCACTCCTGCAGGTCTTCCCTCTGCTTGGAAAGCCTATGGTCATAGTCCTCAGTGAGGTACTTCTACTGAGCCTCCTTCTTGGTCAGATCCAATTTCAACTGAGCTGTTTTGCCAACTCTTTCTCAAGGTGGCTGCTTACCTTCAACAATTGCTTCCTGTTGGGGCCCTAAGGAGCCCAGGCGGGGAGGCGAGTAGTGGCTGGGAGGGGAGGGCTGAGTAGAGGCTGCCAAGGCACCCGTCAACATGAGTGACATCGAGTTGGCCACCCCCACCCAGTCACATGACCACCTAGCCACGCCCACCCAGCTGGTTATTAGGCAGATCATATTAGTGGTCTGTGGGATTTAAAATTATTAATTTAGTGGTCCCTGAGGTCCGAAAGGTTGGTGACCCCTGCTTTGGAGAATTAGGTTGACTGCCTCTTCTTTATGGCAACCTAGATATTGGAAGACTGCTATCATGTCGCCCTTAGTCCTTCTTTTCATTAAACAAATGTACCCAACTTGCAACCATTAGCACCATATAATTACCTGGACTTATGCAAATATGTATAAATATACCCAACCAATTCTAATATTTTTTAAGCACATCCAGGGCACCTCCAACAAAGGTAAGACATTGAAATCAAGATTGGTTCCGTGAAATGCTTGCTAAAGTAAATCTCATCGTACCTAAATGTTAACCCTCAATTCCGTGAGGCAGCGCAAATGCTATTATAGACCAGAAGTGACATGGACTAGTCCATACATGTATCTGCATTGTGCAAATGATTCTGATCATGGGTTTTCCATGTGAAACAGCCATCCAACTCCAACACCACTGATGGAACATTCGCATAACCTTGCCTCATTTCTTTCCTTTCAGAAGAAACTGTTCATATTTTTTGCCTTAAGAATGATATGGGGGGTGGGGGAGGTGTATTGGAGGAATAACTGGGGGGGGGACCCAAAGGCTGGAGGGTTTTTGGTTTTTTGTTTCATTTCTCTTCTATTGGAAACCGTTGAGATTTTGAGGGAACTCACCTGAAATAATGAAAGCAAAAGGATGTTTTCTTCAAGTCAACCCTCAGATTTCAAGGACAACTCCAGGGTATCTTCTTGGCAGCCATCCAGAAGGGGTCGGGCACTGTGCCTTCTTGGGAAGTTTTCAACTACCCAGTCTAGATCTCAGTTCTGGAATTCTCCAACGGGGAGGTCCTTGGTGCCCTCTGAGCTTCGTTCTTTTCTTGCAGATGTTTTGTTGCCATCAACAGCATCACTAGCATTGATGATGTTACCTAGTGTTGGTAATTAAATGTCTGAAAGAAAGCAACCACATTTAGAGAGCACCAAGGACCACCAGCATTACCTCCTCCTCCTCCTCCTCCTCTTGCATTCCACACACACACACCTTTCTACCACTGATGTTCCCTAGTTCGGTCATGAAATGTCTTCAACGAAACAACCCAGCTCAGAGAGCACCAAGGATCTCACAGTCCTCCTCCTACTGTATTCCTGTGTTCCATGAAATGTCTTCAAGGAAACAACCCAGGTTACGGAGCAGCAAGGGTGCCACAGTCTTCCTCCTCCTCCTCCTCCCTTCTATTCCACTCCACAAATACCCCTCCTTTCTACCACTGATGTTCCCTAGTTGGATCATGAAATGTCTGCAAGAAAACAACCCAGCTCAGAGAGCATCCAGGACCCTCACAGTTCAACCCTGAGCTGCAAATATCCTCCTCTATCTGGAAGTCTCCAAATGTGTCCCCTTCCAAATGTTAGCCAGGGCTGATCCTGCTTAGCTTCCCAGCCTAAACAAAACACTAGGTGATATTTATTTTATTTTGTTAATGTCTCAAATGCTTTGTTTATGGAGATGTTTTGTTCACTCCGTTGTTTTAATATATGAACCATCTAGCGCATCAGAAGATGGCCAGGTCTGTACATAAAGCACTTAACCCTAACATGTATTTAATGACAAGAACAAACCTCTTTCACAGTTGGTTAATATCTGTTTGGATCCTTCTGGTGAACTCTGTCCTAGACTGAGATATTTGAAGTTGTATCATACATTTGCCCTTCTTTCTTTTTACCCACTGAGGTGGCTGGGCTTTTCTCTCAACCAGTTTTGCAAACAAATGTCTCACTACGACTCTAAGAAATATACACTGTGGCTGTTTACATTATGCAATCTAATATGGCATGGGCCTGGGGTACTTGCAAGAGCGCCTGCTATCGGCCTCCCACCGACCAGTGCACTCGCATAGGGCTGCCCTCCTCGGGGTGCCGTTGGCCAGGCAATGTCGGCTGATGGCGCCCAGGATGAGGGCGTTCTCTGTGGGCGGCCCAACCCTCTGGAATGGTTTACCCACCAGGCTCCGCACAGCCCCTGATCTCCGCTCCTTCCACAGGGACCTGAAAACGTGGCTCTTTAAACAAATCACCTGATCTGCTTGGAGTTTTTTGGTTTTTAGTTTTTCTAAGGGTTTTAATTGGAGTATTTTAATTAACTAAAATTAATTTATTATTTTATTGTGTGATGCTTTTCATTTTTGTGAACCACCCCGAGTCCTTTGGGAGAAGGGCAGCATATAAATTTGATTAAATAAAATAAATAAATAAATAAATAAATAATATGTTCATGAAAACAGCACTAAATATGTGGGTCTTGCTTTTGAGAAGGGAAGCAAGCACTGCCTGAGGTAAAAACATAATCTAGAACCGTGGTTCTCAACCTGTGACCTGCAGGTTCCTAGAGGACTGTGATGTCATCACAGGAGGTTCACGAAGACTTGAAAAAAATGTGATGATTTAAATCTTGAGTTAAGTCTTGGCCTCAAAAGGTATTTCAAGGGTATCCACGGTGAAAAATAGGTTGAAAAACATTGATCTAAGGAAGTAAAACAGAGAAAGCAGATAAATAGTTGTATATTTTAAATATGGTTTGGGAGGAAAACATTGCATGCATTTCAACTTTGCACCATTGTTGTCTCTGGGAAAAAAAGGATATTTTTTTTCAATGTTTCCAGTAGTTTTTACATTTCATGCACACACGTCTAATTTCATTGGTAAATTAAAAACAAAACTAGTTCTAGGTGAGGTACTGCTGGTTACTTCTCCTAGTACTTGGTGCCCAATTATTCTAGACACGCTCAGACACAGCCTCCATCAGCTTCACATTCCCATTGTACAGCAAAGAGTCTGTTGTGGCCCTCCAGCGGCCAGCGGAGCTGGTAGCAGATTCAGACAGTGAGGAGGTTGGGGAAGAACATGGGCCAGTCCTGGAGTCTGGGGAAGGCTCTGATGAGGGCTCTGTGTCGAAGGCAGAGAGGGGGCCAGGGCCGTATGCCAGTTATCAGTTGCCTTCGGAGTCAGACATCAGTGAGGCAGACGAACAGATGGAGCCTGTTCCCATTGTGCGCATGCGCAGAGTTGCCAGACGAAGGGAACAGCTAAAGAACAAGGGTCAACTTGGGAGTAAGGCCACAGGTGGACTTCTTGAAGAATGACTCCAATTTTTTTTTTATTTACACTCCAGGGAGACCCTTTTGCTTATTACAGGTAACTTATTTTTTTGATCTCACCCTAATGACATGACCCTTTTTCTCCTTATGATCATGGTTCCTGACGCTCGCAGTCTCGTTACAGATTTCCTGGAGTCTCGAGCACCTACAGTGGAACTCCTGCAGTCAGTCGATCGGGAGAAGGACACCGTGGTGTTGAAATGCATCGCGACGAATTACAGGCCCCCGAGTGTCACCATCACATGGGTGGGTGGCCCACAAAATAAGAAGGAAGCCATTGTGGACAAGAGGATGGCAGATGGAACCTATTGGGCCAGCAGCCAACTCACCCTCACCCTCTCCCAATGGCAAGAAATGGACAGCAAGACTTGTGAGGTGGTACACCAACCAACGAGCACAAAAAAAGTCCAGAAGATTTCCAGAAAAGGTGAACTAGAGCAGCAAAGCTAGAATGTCTGAAGTCCATCTTTGAATCAGACACTTCATGCTCCCAATCTTTTCCTTCCCACCTACTAGATGTAAACTGAGGTTTCCTTCTGAACACTATGTGCCTGGATTACCCTCCTCCTCTTCCTCCTCCTCCTCCTCCTCTTTTACTTCTTTGTATGTTGAGAGACTTCTGCTTCCTGATCTTCTGGTGCCCTTAACCATTGTTATTTAAGATCCTGGGTCACCCTGAAATGGCCTGGCTAAGGGGGCTCTGGTGAAATTTTGACTGGCTCAACAAACCAGCAATGGATGATTTATTGTTCTACAAATTATAACAAGATTATAATCAGGGGTGGGATTCTACCGGTTCAGACCGGTTCAGGCGAACCGGTAGCTCCGACAATCAGTTGGAGTTACAATCAGTTACTCCGACAATCAGGTCCGCCTGCCTGCCTGCCCCTTCACTTTACTTACATTTATCTTCTCAGCTGATTGGCGCGGTAGAGCAGATTGCCGTGCCTCAGCTGTGTTACTCCCAAGTGGTAACACAGAAGGTTCGTATTTGTAAAACTGTGCATGCACACACAGCGCATGGTCACTGAACCGGTTGTTAAACCAGCAGCATCCCATCATTGTTTGTAATGAACGTACTGCACTCTGAAAAAATTAAAGAAACTAGTAAGGCAGGATAATTAATTTTGGAACAACCACAATACCGTATGGCCCATGAAGGGTTCAGGGAGGAGATTTAAAGCCACCAATGCCCTTCTAAATTCTCTGCCACATTTCTGGGCAAACAAATTCAGTAGACGTCTGTGGAGATTCTGAGTCATCCAGGTCGTGGTTGTCTCAAAAGTGCTTTTTTTCAAGAGGCAACTGGACTTTCTAGTTTTTCTTTGAAGATGTTTCGTTTCCCATCCAAGAAGCTTCTTCAGTTCTGACTGGATGGTGGGAAACAGAAGGATTTATATAGTCCACCTGCATTTAAAAGACAATTAACCATTAACAGCCATTACCATTAACAGCCTCCCACCGACCAGTACGCTCCCACAGAGAGGGGCTCCTCCAGGTGCCGTCGGCCAAACAATGTTGGCTGTCAGCCCCTAGGGGGAGGGCCTTCTCTGTGGGGGCACTGACGATCTGGAATGAGCTCCCCCCAGAGATACGGAGGATTCTGGATCTGTGCACCTTCCGCCGCGAGCTGAAGACTCTGTTATTTCATCAATCTGGCCTCGCCTAAATCTTCTCCCTTTTAAGTGTAAATTTTAAATTTTTAAATTCTTAATGTATTTTAAAAAATGGGTATCTTAAATTATGGGTACTAATTCAGCCAAATTTATTTAATTCATTTTATTCGATTTTAAATTTTGTATATCTATGTGTTTTATTTTATGGCTGTGCACCGCTCTGAGTCCTTCGGGAGTAGGGCGGTATAGAAATTCAATAAAATAAATAAATAAATAAATAAAGACCACACTTTTGAAGACAGCAAAGTCCATGTTTTGGACATAAAAGACCGCTGGCTTGAAAGAGGGGTCAAAGAGGCCATCTATGTCCAAATTGAACAGCCCTCTCTCAACAGAGTGGGGAACGATATGGCCAGAGGTGGTATTCAGCTGGTTCAGAACGGTTCGCCTGAACTGGTAGTGGAAATCTTGGGTGCGTCTGCCCACCGACCCACCCCAGCTCCAAGTCGTGCTATTTAGGCACATTTTTGAGGCTGGGAGCATGTGCGGAAGGCACGTGGGGCAGCAAATTGCATGCACAGAAGGCATGGACAGGGCGTGTGTGAGCGAAGCCAGCGTGTGTGTGCGCACGCTCACATTTGCGAACCGGTAAGGAAAGTAAATGAATACCACCGCTGGATACGCCATAATCTATCTCCAATCTACAACATAGTCCTTTCAGCAGTTCCCATTTGCACCACTCAGGTGACCCTGAAGACACAGATAAACCTCCAGGTGACCTTAATGACTTGCTAAAAGGATGCAAATGACCAGCTGTCTGCAAGGAGTATAAATCCTTCCATTTCCCACCATTCAGTCAGAGCTGAAGAAGCTTCTTGGATGAAAAGCGAAAATGTCTTCAAAGGATAAGAGTGCAGCCGCATGGGTGGTTATGGGAGCGACGTGGAGTTCCCATGTAACACTTCTCCTGCGCAAGCTGCACTGGCTCCCGGTGGTCTTCCGGGTGCGCTTCAAGGTTCTGGTTATCTCCTTTAAAGCGCTCCATGGCTAGGACCTGGTTATCTACGGGACCGCCTGCTACCACCAATAGCCTCCCACCGGCCAGTATGCTCCCATAGAGAGGAGCTCCTCCGGGTGCCGTTGGCCAAACAATGTCGACTGGCGGCCCCCAGGGGGAGAGCCTTCTCTGTGGGGGCACCTACGATCTGGAACGAGTTCCCCCCGGAGATACGGAGGATCCTGGATCTGCGCACCTTCCGTCACGCGCTTAAGACTTTTTTATTTCATCAAGCTGGCCTGGCCTAAATCTTCTCCCCTTTTTAAATGTAAATTTTAATTTGTTTTTAAATTATGGGGTATTTTAAATTCAGCCAAATTATTTAATTCATTTTTATTCTATTTTAAATTTTTGTATTTATCTGTTTTATTCTGTGGCTGTTCACCGCCCTGAGTCCTTCGGGAGTAGGGCGGTATAGAAATTTAAACAAAAATAATAATAATAATAATTAGAAAGTCCAGTTGTCTCTTGAAAAAGCACCTTTGGGATGAGATTCAGTAGAAGACTTCTTCATGAGATGGAGGAAGTTTCCCAGAAGGTTTTTCATGAACAAGGCACCTCTTATTAATGATAGCTAAACCTACTGGAAAAATATCCAAAAACAGTTCTTCCATGCAAGCATGGAAATCCAAGGAAGGAGATTATTTGTTCAAGGAAAGTTGCAACATTCAGACACACCTCTCAGCCATTTCTGTAATTAAATAGGTGTGAGTGAGACCCCCATACCCCACACAGGAGGCACTCCGAAATTCTTTTTCTCAAGCAAACTTTCTTTCATCTCATGAAAGGCCAAAGATGAGAATCCAGAAATCGTCCCCCCCCTGCAATTTCTGCTACCGGTTCATGCAAACTGGTCTGAACCGGCTGAATCCTCTGATCTAGATCATGGTTGTCCCAAAGGTGCTTTTTTCAGGAGGCAACTGGACTTTCTTGTTTTTTTCTTTTGAAGACATTTCACTTCTCATCCAAGAAGCTTCTTCAGCTCTGACTGGACTTCCATTCATGAGCCATGGTGGCACAGTGGTTAGAATGCAGTACTGCAAGCTACTTCTGCTGACTGCTGGCTGCCTGCAATTTGGCAGTTTCGAATCTCACAAGTAGAATAGAATAGAATAGAATAGAATAGAATAGAATAGAATAGAATAGAATAGAATTTTTTATTGGCCAAGTGTGATTGGACACAAAAGGAATTTGTCTTGGTGCATATGCTCTCAGTGTACATAAAAGAAAAGATACATTCAGGGTTGACTCATGAGCCTCGAGCCAAGCTTCAAAAGAAATCCAGTTATTTATTAGGAGGTTCATGTCAGCATCTTACAAGTGAAGCCAACTCTGACCTCACTTAATTAGCACCCCAGTCATCACCCTGTTTCCCCCCTCCCCCAGGGTGTGTTTTCAATCACATTCAGCAATGGAGCAATTTTGCAGGTTGTAGAAATCACTCCCCTCCAGCAGCTGTGGGTAACCCTGGGAGACAGCCTTGAGAGAGATATGTCTGGAATGTGCTTCTGTTTTTGGCTGCCCTGCTGCTTCGTCGGTTTCCCATCCCCCTTGCCTATGGCAACTTGAGAGCAGGCCAGGGATGCTTTGCGAGTTGACATCTAAGGGTTATTGTTATTCCCCACCATCCAGCCAGAGCTGAAGAAGCTTCTTGGATGAGAAGTGAAACATCTTCAAAAGAAAAGACAAAGGAAGTCCAGTTGCCTCCTGAAAAAAATGCACCTTTGGGACATTGGAGATAATGGATAAACAGTGGGTAAAAATAATAGCAAAACCCTGAGATACAAGGAAAGGTTACGAGAGAGTTACACAACTTCATTACTTCGCTCATTCTAAGAGGGAGAATTAGTTCATTCTCTCCTTGACTTTTGTAGACCCTCACACTCTTCATTTTCCTACAAAATGAACCGGAATAAAATTGACGCTTCTCTTTCTGTTTCTTTAGACTGGGTTATGTCCACGGATCTCATGGTGACTCTGAATGTCCATCCACTCTGTCCAAGTTTAGGGACCATCAGTAGTGTGACTTTAGTCTGTTCCATCTATAGCTACTCCCTAGAGAACATCCAAGTGACCTGGGAACCAAAAGGGAAATTCCAAACGTCACCAAAGGATCGGTCAAACGGTGTCCATTTCTACACTACCAGCAACTTCACAGTATCCCTACAGGAGTGGAACAAGCTAAAAAAATATACCTGCAAAGTAACTCAAGCTGGAAGAAAGCAAATAGAAACAAGAACTATCAGCAAGTGCAAAGGTGATTGATTGATCAATTCATTCTCTCTCTCCCTCTCTCCTTTTTTACTTATTCTTTTTTTCCTCTCTCTTTCTTTTTCTTTGTTTCTCTCTCTCCCTCTCTCTCTCTCTTTCTTTCTCTCTCTCTCTCTCTTTCTTTCTCTCCCTTTTTACTTATTCTCCCTCACTTTCTCTCTGTTTCTTTTTCTTTCCCTTTTTCTTTTTTCCTCTCTCTTTCTCTCTCTCCCTTCTTACTTATATTTCTCTCGTTCTCTCTCTCTCTTCCTTTCTTTTTCTCTTTCTCACTTTTTTAGTCTTTTTCTTTCTCTCTCTTCCTATTTCTTATTCTCTTTCTCTTTCTGTTTCTCTCTCTGTGTGTTTTTCTCTCTCTTTCTGTTCCTCTCTCTCCTTTTTTACTTATTCTTTCTTTCTCGCTTTCTTTTTCTTTCTCTCTCTATTTCTCTCTTTCTCTCTCTCCCTTTTTACTTATTCTTTTTCTTTCTCTCTCTCACTTTCTGTTTCTTTTTCTTTCTCTTTCTCTTTTTCTTTCTCTCTCTCTCTCTTTCTCTCTCTCCCTTTTTACTTATTCTTTTTCTCTCACACACACACTTTCTCTCTGTTTCTTTTTCTTTCTCTTTCTCTCTTTTTCTTTTTCTCTCTCTCTTTTTTTCTCTCTCCCTTTTTACTTATTCTTTTTCTTTTTCTATCTCTCTCCCTTTTTTAGTCTCTTTCTTTCTTTCTTTCTTTCTTTCTTTCTCTCTTCCTGTTTCTTTCTTTCTCTCTCTCTCTCTTTTTCTTATTCTTATTCTTTCTCTCCCCCTCTCTCTCTGTTTTTCTCTCTCTCTGTTTCTGAATCTCCCTCCCCCCGCTTTCTCCTTTTTTACTTATTCTCTCTGTCCACTCATTCTCTGTCTCTTAACATATTTCTGTCCAGAACATAACTTCATGTTCTCTTATTTTGTTTTTCTTCTTCCTTTGATTCTGGTTCCACCTAAAAGTAATAATAATAATAATCACTGTGCCAGGAAATTACATTGGATTGATCGTAGAATGTAATAATGATAGCAACTCATTTGGAGAGAAAAGTGTTTGACTATAACTAGTCCTCGATTTACAGCCAATTGCTTAACAACTGTTCAGAGTTACAACGGTCCTCCTCCAAACGCTACTTATGGGACCCATTTTCAAAGTTTTGACTGCGGCACAAACTCCATGGTCACATGATCACAAATTTGGCGCGCTTGGCAATTGGTTCATTTGTGGATTTACTGCGATTTGAGACATTTTTTTTGCCAGTTTCTGGGCCATTGTGGCGCAGTGGTTAGAATGCAGCACTGCAGGCTTCTTCTGCTGACTGCCAGCTGCCTGCAATTTGGCAGTTCAAATCTCACCAAGCTCAATGTTGACTCAGCCTTCCGTCCTTCCGAGGTGGGTAAAATGAGGACCCAAATTGTTGGGGGCAAGAGGCTGATTCTGTAAACCGCTTAGAGAGGGCTGTAAAAGCACTGTAAAAGTCTAAGTGCTATTACTGTTGACTTCCAGTTTTCTACCAAAAAAACTCCCATTAGGGAAAATGTATTTGTTGAATGACTATAACACTTACAGAACAACCTCTGCAAAAGCAGCCAGAAAATCAGGTTGGTCACATGATGTTTTGACTTTCGATTGCAAAAATCTAGGACCATAATTATGGGCTCAGTTAAATTGTAAGTCAAGGGTTTCCTGTATCGAGTGCAATGTTCCAATTTGTTGCCAATTCTTCTTGCTTTCCTCAACTCTTTGTTCAACTCAAATCGAGTTTATTACAATCAAAGACCAGAGACCAGAACAAATAACTGATGGAACATCCAATTAAAAGTTCTAGAATAAAGTAATAAATATCAGGTAAAATCTATATTAAAATCACAATTCGACATTCAATCTATCAGATACATATGTCCTAACTAATACTATAATATCAATCCTTACACGGTGGACTTACACGGAGTTCAAGACTTCCTGCAGGTAATCCTCAATTTACGACCACAATTCAGCCCTAAATTTTTGTTGCTAAGTGAGTTAACTGAGTTTTTCCCCTATTTTACAACTTCCCTTGACACGTTTGTTAAGGGCACCCCTGCAGTTGTAAAATTAATAACAGGGATTTTAAGCTTCCCCGTTGTCTTTACTTTTAAGAAGGTTGTAAAAGAGAGATGACCCCGGGACACTGCAACTGTTATGAATCATCTGAATTTTGATGATAGGGATGCTGCAATGGTCATAAGTATGAAAAATGATCATGTTCTGACCTAGCTCCCCAAACACAACAAATCCTTTGTATTTAAATCAACGATTCCTTTATTAGGAACGCCAGCAGCCCCAGCAAAAAGTTTCTCTCTCAACGCAGGCTAACAAGTCTGTCCAGCAGGGAGATGAATAGTTGTCTGTCACACCTATTCATCTCCGCCCCCTGCCTTTTATCCCCAGTGTAAGGTGGGGCTTCGCTAGTAGCAGTGGGTTCTGTCTCAAAGATCAGCCCATAGATTTCCACTGCTCTCCTCTCCTCTGCCTTCTGTGCAGCCATGCATCAGGCACAGGACCCAGCTGTTCCTCCTCTTCCTCATCAGCCACCTCCAGACCTGGGGGCTATTGACTCTCTATCTGAGGGCTGACGGACGGCCCAGGCTCCACCTCTCTCTCTCTGTTTCTCTCTCTCTCTGTCTCTGTCTCTCTGTGAGTGTGTGTGTATGTTTCTCTCTCTCTCTTTCTCTCTCTCTCTCTGCCAGCTCCAATCCCTCTTCCCCCTTGGAGCTCTCAGGTTGCCTTGATGCTGACCCTGACTCCCCCGCCTCCTGCTCCTCCTCTAGATTCGGCTGCTGGAGGGGCTGGTGGCTGACAGGCCATCACAGGTCATAAGTCACTTTTTTCACTGCTGTTGTAACTTTGAACGGTCACTAAATGAACTGTTGTAAGTCAAGGATTACCTCTATAATGTTTTGTTTCTCCATGTGTTTTTTGGCCTATTTTATTCCGCCCATCGTAAAATGTTTGTCGTTTGCTCTCTTGCAGCCTGTAAGAACAGTGTACCGCCTCCCACAGTTTATCTACTCAAACCACCCCTTGAGAGCCTCTTCACTCAAAACAGAGCTGTTTTGTCTTGCCTTGTGGTGGGCTATGAACTGGAGAATGTCATCCTCACCTGGACGATGGGTGGACTGAACCTCACCACGAATGCCACCGTGGAAAAAATCAAGAGACACCCAAATCGGACCCAAAGTTTCCAAAGCCAACTTAAACTCACCCGTCAGAACTGGGATGCTGGAAAGAAAATTGAATGCATCGTTTCTCACCTTTGCTCACTTTTCCCCGAGGTGAAGCAGAGCATCCAAAAAAGCACAGGTGAGAGAAGGTTCAAAAATGCCCCCCCCCCCAAAACGCAGGAGAAAATATTTGGCTTGCTTCAAAGTGGTGACAGGGGTGTCAAACTCAAGGCCTCCAGGCCAAATCTGGCCTGTGATGTGGTCAGATCCAGCCTGCGGGGCCATCCTGCTCTATCCAATGCGAAGAGGAAGGATTGGGCCAGTCTGGCTTCGGCCTGGTCTACCCAATGTGAAGAGGAAAGATTGGGCCAGCGTTGCTTCGGCCTGGTCTACCCAATGTGAAAAGGAAACATGCCAGCAATTTGGGGAGTGACCTCAAACTAGCCACACCCACCCAGTCAGCCACACCCACCCAGTCAGTCATGCCCACTCGGCCCCCCCAAGGTCAACCACAGCCCTGATAGCAAAAGCAATAGCACTTATATACTGCTTCCTAGTACTTTACAGCCCTCTCTAAGCATTTTACAGAGTCAGCATATTGCCCCCAACAATCTGGGTCCTTATTTTACCTACCTCGGAAGGCTGAGTGAACCTTGAGCCTGGTGAGATTCAAACTGCTAAATTGCAGGCAGTCAGCAGGAGTAGCCTGCAGTACTGCATTCTAACCACTGCGCCACCACGGCTGCATTGATGCAGCCTTCAATGAAATTGAGTTTGACACCCCTGGTCTATGGAGATTCTCAGACATCCAGATTATCCAAAATGTGCTTTCTTTCAAAAGGCAATGGGACTTTCTTTGTTGTTGCTTGAAGATGTTTCACTTCTCATCCAAGAAGCTTTTTCAGGCCTGACTAAATGGTGGAGAATGGAAGGATTTATATTCCTTGCAAATGGGAATATATTCCCATTTGCACTATTCAGGACACAGCTAAACCTCCAAGTGGCTTCAATGACTCTCAGAGAGAGTACTAATGACCAGATGACTGCAAGGAATACCAAATCCTTCCGTTCTCCACCGTTCAGTCAGAACTGAAGAAGCTTCTTGGATGAACAATGTCCAGTCACCTTTGGAAAAAGCACCTTTGGGATTTACCTTGCCCCTGAAAATTGTGGAGGGAGGCAGGGAGAATAATTCTCTGGACCAATTATCAGAGAAATTATCTCCATATCTTTGGTTTCATTTTCATCAGAGAATGGGTGGGCCAAATAAAAACATTCAAATCATGAAAATTAAATTTCATGAATGCGGCATCCTTACCATATCATCCATCAGATTTAATCAGGGGTGAAATGCTACCGGTTCAGATCAGTTCGTCTGAACTGGTAGCAATGGTGGTGGGTGGTTCAGAGAACCGGTAGCGGCAGCAATGCAAGGCTCCGCCCACCTGCCCAAATGTCATTACTTCCTTGTTTTAACCAGGAAGAAACCTGTTTTTTACCCTCTAAGCATGTGCAGAAGGCTTTGTGCATGCATAGAGGGTCCAAGCGCGCACTTCCGAACTGGTAGGGAAGGTAAGTAGATTTCACCCCTGGATTTAATACTTATTCCCACCTTCCCTTTTCTTTCACTAATCACCCATATCTATATTTCTATTTCTATCTTTATTTTGTATAGATCCCAGCCACATTAACGTACCATCTCTCTCCTTGGTCCTTCCTCCACTATCGCAACTGACACAACCTACCTCCCAAGCTGTTGCTTGGTTGGCTTGTGTGATCTATGGGTTCTCCCCATCTGAGATCCTCATCAAATGGAAGAAGAACAACAGAAGTCTAGATGCCTCTGAATATATCGTAGGCCCATCCACACTTGAAACTGGGAAGTCCACTTTTTCTACTCAAAGCGTCCTGAAAATCCCAGCATCTGAATGGGAAAATAGAGCCATGTATACCTGCCTTGTGGGACATGAATCCCTAACTATCACGAAGAGCATCAGTAAATATTTGTATGGTAAGTCTTGGTGCTGGAAAAATTCTTGATCAGCCAAGAATGGAACCAAGGTTTAATTCTGCTCAGTGCGAATGACTATGTGAATCATAGATGGTAATGGAGAAACATCTGCACTTCTTCACCCCAAGTAAAATGCACGAAAACTCAATGTTTACAACTCTTAAGAAGCTGCTGAATGTCCTCTATTGAACATTTCAACGTAACCCCAGGGGTGGGATTCTACCAGTTTGGACCATTTCGGGTGAACCGGTAGCTGCGCCAATCGGCTGGGAGTGAACTGGTTCACTCCAACAATCAGCTCACCCGCCCGTCCCTGCACTTTACTTACCTTTATCTCCACAGCTGATTAGCGCGGCACAGCGAATTGCTGCGCCTCAGCTGTTTTAATTCCGTAGCACTAACGCGGAAGATGATTTTTCATTGAACTGCGCACGTGCACGCAGCAAAGCGCACAATCTCTGAACCAGTTGTTAAACAGGAAAGATCTCACCACTGGGTAACCCTGTTGGTAAGATGGCTCCATCAGTGGTGTTTAGGCAGAGATGGCTGTTTTACATATTGCACTCTTCTCTTGAGGACCAACACATCCACAAATGTGTTTCCACTTGGAAAGAAACTTCCATCAGTTATTTGAAATCACTAAATTGCACGGCCATTCTGATCAAATAAAAACTGGTTGCTGATCTATCTCGATTATTGCTATTTAGCCATATACTGTATATTCAACTCACACAGTCTTGATTTGAGGAATACAGTGTGCAACCTCGAAATCAACCATTTCTTTTCAGATTTCCTGAAACCCACTCCTCCACGAGTGATGGCCTTCCATACCTTTGAGGACAAGGGCTACCCAAAACTTGTCTGCTTGGCTACCAGCTTTTACCCCAAAACCATAGACATTCAATGGAGCACCAAAGGAGAGAAACTCAATTCTATTCCAAGCTGTTCACCGCCGGTGCCCCTCCCTGATGGGACGTTCCAGAAGGACTGTAGTTTGACCATCCGTGGAGAAGACTGGCACCATCCAGAAACATACACATGCACCGTAAATCACCGTGCAACCAACTTTGTGATTAAGAAAGACGTGCATTCTTCCGGTAAGTTGTACTTTTGCACGCTTAAATTACAAATAAAAGAAACAGTGGGTCTGATATATTTGCAATGTGCTTTTACTGATGAGTGAATAGCCACATTTCTTGAGTCCTCATTATGCTCCACTTCACATTCCCAATCAGCAGCCTTGTCTTTTAGTCTGCCAAGTCCCGCATGCCAATGATGGCTTCATTATTTAATATGTTTCCTAACAGAAATGTAACAGGGATGTGGTGGCTCAGTGGCAAAGATGCTGAGCTTGTCGATTGAAAGGTCAGCAGTTCAGCAGTTCGAATCCCTAGTGCCGCATAATGGGGTGAGCTCCTGTTACTTGTCCCAGCTTCTGCCAACCTAGCAGTTCGAAAGCACGTAAAAAATGCAAGTAGAAAAAAAATAGGGACCACCTTTGGTGGGAAGGTAACAGTGTTCCGTGCGTCTTTGGCATTTAGTCATACCAGCCACATGACCACGGAGACATCTTCAAACAGTGCTGGCTCTTCAGCTTTAAAACAGAGATGAGCACCACCCCCTAGAGTTGGGAACAATTAGCACATATGTGTGAGAGGAACCTTTACCTTTACCTAACAGAAATGTTATGGTTTTAGTGATCTGCATAGCCAAAATACATTAAGGGTATGGGTCTAGGACAACTCGTCATGGCCAGCTCGCCGTGGCCAACTCACTGTGGCCAACTCACCATGGCCAAATCGTCACAGGACAATTCACCACAGTCAACTCGCCTAAAGACAATTCACCACTGAACAATTCAGCTCTCAGGATTCAGTGTCGTCTCAAATAAACTGCATTTCAAACAAATAGTCCTTGATCAAAATCTTTCATTTATTAGGCACAACAATCAAAACTCTGACTCAGTTGCAGCCAACACTGACTTCCTGGTCCAAACCCACCCTTTTCTTTCCCCACTGCTCTGCTTCTCATTGGCCATCTTCCAAGTCACTCTGCTGTTATCTACTACTTCAGCTCAAAGGAATTTCCCCCCTCCCAACCCATCTTCTAGGGGATAGTATCTCCAGGGAAAATAAGTAGGTGAAAAGTCAAGCGTCCTCTTGCCAGATGCCCCCACCTTCTCCTTCTTATGTCAGCACTGGAGTGAATGCAGCTTGGAGTGCTGACATCAGCGCTGTATTAATCATTTCATTTAGTTGCTTTTATTTTTGGTATCCACGTTTTCATCAAAATTATTGTAACTCCTGTGTTTCTAAATGGACTTTCTTGATTTTATTATTATTGGCCATGGTTCTATTGAAATTAATTTACATTTTGCTTTTATTGATTTGTTCTGCACAGAGTTGGCCATGGTGTGTTGACTGTGGCAAGTTGGCCATGGCCATTCCCTATAAGGCTACCATGATACTGATGGCTCTGGGTATTGAGTTGATATTGACTGACATCAAGGAGGGGGGGAAAGCAGCGGATTGGTTGAGAGAGATGAATAATTTTTAGAATACCATGTCTAATCTGCATTTGAGCATGTAGTAAATAATTGCTTCTATTAGATGGAAAATTAATCTATTAGCGTTGAGGAAGAAAGGGTTGGATGTGTCAAACCATTTTCCAAGGTTGCTTCCATACATCCTTCATCTTTCATGTTTCCAACATCCTTCATGTTCCCAAGTAGAAGGATCTGCATTTTTTTGAAACAGAACAAACTTATTTGTTTCTTCATCAGCTCTAGCATCCAGATGTTAGATTACCATATTTTTTGGACCATAAAATGCACTGGAGTATAAGTCACACCTTAGTTTTTTGGGGGGAAAATAAGAAAAAAAATTCTGCCTACCAGCATCCATCTGGCTAGCATCCTTAGCAAATAGCGTGGAACAGGTTTATTAGCCTGATTCAGCATGAACAGCTGATTGACGGGTAGATCGGCCTCCAGGAATACCCCCAACCAGCTGTTCCCAGAGGTGAACTTTAGCAACAAGTTCGTTGGTTGTGAGCGCACACACGCTAAGCTCACATGCGACTTGTTGACGCAGATAGGCAGGTTCAAAAATACAGCAGATCATCGCAGGGTGCTCCAGAGAGTACAGCAGGCGAAGTGCAGAACTGGTCCAACAAGGCAGCAGCTGTTCCAGGTTGCCATTTTGGCCTCTGCACCTTGCTTTTTCAGCCTCCAAAAGCTCCGTTTGAGAGGCTGTTTTCAGCCTTGGAAAGCTCCATTTGAGAGGCTGCTTTTCCAGCCTCCAAAAGCTCTGTTTGAGAGGCTGTTTTCCGCCTCCGAAAGCTCCGTTTGAGTAGCTGCTTTTTCAGCCTTGGAAAGTTCCATTTGAGAGGCTGTTTTCAGCCTCCAAAAGTTCTGTTTGAGAGGCTATTTTCAGCCTTTGAAAACTCTGTTTGAGAGGCTGGATGGGGCTACCTTTGATGTATAAGACACACCCAAATTTTCACCCTCTTTTGGGGGGGAAATGCATCTTATATTCCGAAAAATACAGTAATTTTATTTAGATTTCCCAGGCTAATCACAAGAAGGGGCAGCTGGTTTTGAAATAGTTATTCTAATAGGTATGAGGAAGTCCCTATCAAATTAATTCATGCAACATTGCTTTTGAAGGAATGATGACATCTCCGAGTAATTTGGAAGTGATCAAGATGCAGTTGCCATCTTTCGAAGAGCTCTTTACAAATGGAAGTGCAGCTCTAACCTGCATGATGTCCCTCACGAATGCCAGTGCCAATGCAACCTTCAATTGGACTATGGATGGCAAACCAGCCAACAATAATTTGATGACAAATGAAATCTTCCAAGAAACCAACTACACTTCTATGATGTATGGCCGGCTGGAGGTGAATCTGAGTGAATGGATCAACACCACCCAATTCACTTGTAGCTTCCAGAGTGGCCTAGGAGAAACAGAGATGAAGCATTTTGACCGAAGGAATGGTAAGGACTCGTATAAAGAGCCGGCAAGCAAATGAGACAGAAGAAGGACTCTTTTAAGTACAGGGAGATTGGGAAGTACTTCCATTCAGCCTAATTCTGAATTGATCCTGGCAGTAGCTATAATCAGAGCAGAGTCTTATTTCTCAACAGCAGAATCGTGGCAATGTTTGTGTCAGATCCAACGGATGCCCTAATTGAATCATGAGCCTTGAGCCAAGCTTCAAAAGAAATCCAGTTATTTATTAGGAGCTTCATGTCGGCACATTCCCAAGTGAAGTCAGCTCTGACCCTACATAATTTACACCCCAATCATGAACCTGTTTCCCCCCCTCCTCCCAGGGTGTGTCATCAATCACATTTACAAATGGAGCGATTTCATGGGTTGTAGAGACAACCACTCCCCTCTGGTTGCTGTGGGTAACCCTGAGATATAGCCTTGAGAGAGATAAGTCTGGAATGCATATGTCTTTGACTGCCATGCCGTATCATCAGTTTCCCATCCCCCCTTGCTTATGGCAACTTGAGAGCAGGCCAGGAATGCTTTGCAAGTTGACATTTTGTTTGTTTGTTTATTTAATTATTTAAGGAAATTTATATTGCTGCCTATTCACACATGGCGACTCAAGGCAGCTTACAGAATATACAGCCCCATATAAAAACAATAAAACTAACAAAGGAAGTCATATAATAAATTAATATACTAAAATCACACCCCCATCCCTCTCCTGGTGACAGCACCTCATATAAGCCATTTAATGGACTCCATTCCCGCTCCTCATTCCCCAGGCCTGCTGGCAGAATCAGACCTTTAGCGCCTTCCAGAAGAGTGTTAGAGTGGGTACCAGTCTAATCTCTGGGGGAATGATGTTACAGAGAGAGGGAGCCACCACAAAGAAGGCCCTTTTCTGGGTCCTGCCAGCTGTATCTCCCTAGGGCAATCATGGCTAACCTTTTTGCCATCGCATGCCAAATGTGGGGGGAGTGCGGGGGGGTCGACATTCATGCCCAAACCATAATTCTATGTGCCTCAACCCTGTGCATGCACGCACAACCCCCCATGCTCCCCCAACTTTTGGCACGCGATGGCACAGTGGGCCTGGTAGGCCTGTTCTTTACTCTCCCCAGCTCCAAAGCCTCTCTAGGAGCCTGGGGAGGGTAAAAACAGCCTTTCCCATCCCCCCAGAGGCCCTCTGGAGGCCGGAAATGGCCCATTTGCAAACTTCTCTGAAGCCTCCTGGGAGTGAAAAAAGGTTGCGAGGGGTGCTGCACACCCACCCACCCCCTGTTTTGGGCCTAGTAGGCCCCCCTGCACTTACCTGGGAGCCAAAATGCGGCAGGTTGAGACTCCTGGAAGGGGTGGGGAAGGGAGGGGCCAGCCAGCAATTTAATTACCTGGTTCACCTGAACCGGCCTAAACTGGCTGAATCCCACCACTGCCTAGGGCACAAAAAAATAAAATATCTGCTGTGAACTCTGGGTGGCATCAGGAAGGGCATCCGGACAATAAATGCTCAGCTCCATCCACGCTGAATTAAGAGATTATACGGTCATAAAAAAGGAATTTTATCCTTACATGAAAAAAATAAAAATAAAATAGTAGTTCGAATAGAAAAAACCCTAAGTGTACAATGATGGTAGAGTCCAGCATATTTTCTTTCCCAAACATGTTGTCTTGTCTTTTGTTAACCCAGGGACGATGAGACCCCCCAAAGTGGATCTCCAGCGTCAGTCATCCAGCGAGGACTTCAATGTAACCCTCTTGTGCATAGCGAAAGATTTCTACCCAGACGAAATCTTTCTGAAGTGGGAAGAAGAGAACCAAGAAATGTCCTTCAAGGGTTACGATGCCCACGGCATGAAGTGCGACCACGAGAAACAAACGTGCTCCTTGCTAAGCATGCTGGAAATCCCCACAAACAAATGGATGATGGGAGCCTCCTACAGATGCCTTGTAGCTCACGTCTCTTCTGAAAACATAATCACTAGAACAACTAATTTCTTAACTGGTAAAGACAACAACAATGCCAGCAACTACCCCGATTCTGGCGCTCATGTTATAATGCACCCTTTATGTATCTTCCCATTTTACATTAAAACAATATGCACGCACTGGGTGTTTCTTTCTTTCTTCTTCGATTGGCACCTTCTTTACACCAAAAAGAGCCACAATTTTGGCCAACGCAACACTCCAAAGATGCTATACGGGCTGTGAAGTTTTCATGTGGCCGATATATTCCCACAGATATCCGTTTCAACATGCATTTGATGCTTTCCTCCCAAAAAACCCCCCAAAGTTTGTCATTTTTTGACTTACGTTTAAATGCAACTTTTGACCCTAGTCATTTCTCCTTGCTGGTTTTAAGACTGGTTCGATACTGAATTTTACACTCCAAGACCGTGATGGCGAACCTATGGCACACGTGCCACAGGTGGCACACGGAGACATATCTGTGGGCATGCAAGTGTTGCCCTAGCTCAGCTTAGCACTCATGCGCGCGCCAGTCATCTGATTTTCAGGCCTACCGGAAGCTGGGAAATGGGCTGTTTCTGGCCTCCGCGGGCATGGGGAAGGCTATTTTTGTCCTCCCCAGGCTCCTAGAAAGCCTCTGGAGCCTGGAGAGGGCGAAAAACAGGCCTACCAGGCCCACCGTGCCATTGCGTGCCAAAAGCAGGGGTCACGTGGGGGGTTGCGTGTGCGTGTGCAGGGGGTAGGGCATAGCATTGAATTATGGGTATGGGCACATGCATGCGCAACCCCCCGCGCTCCCCCCACTTTTGGCACGTGACGGCAAAAAGGTTAGCCATCACTGCTCTAGGATTTTATAGCTCTTTCTCTAGGCACAATGCGCTTTGACCTTGCTTTAAATCTGCTTCGATTATTTTATACTTTTGGGGTGTCGTTTTTGTCACTCGCCCTGAACCTTTGGTTCTTGGGAGTGCGAAATATCACAATCACAGGTAGTCTTCCACTTACGACTGGTCACTTAGCAACTGTTTGAAGTTAGGACGGACCCCACAAAAAGCAATTTACCACCCGATTCTGAAATTCCAATGGCTTCCCCCCCAGCCATGTGATTATGTAAACGCATTTGGGGTGCTCCATAACTGGCCCACATTTACAGATGTTTGCAGCATCAATTTACAGGTCAGAATTTACAGCATTTTTGCCAGAAATCACCATTTACTTCTGGGTTTTTGGCAAAAAAACCCAATCCCGCGGTGAACAATGGATTCGCTTAACAACTGCCGCATTTGCTTAAGGATGATGGTATTCGCTTAACAACAGGCACACAAAAAAAAATAATTGTAGAATTGAGTTGGACAAATAATAGTCCCTTTTTGCAACCATCCTGGCTTATGACAGTAATTGGCCAGGCTCCATAATGGACGTAAGTGGAGGACTACCCATACAGACATTAAATAAACGATCAGATATAAATGGATAGTGAATCTGTCCCTTTCTCTGTCCACCAAATGTTTTCTATTGGCTTTTCTTCCTTTGCTTTTCAGAGCCATCTTTCTAATTTGATTTTTTTTTTTTTCACATCCTGTTCTCCAGATTCCTGGGATTGTACCCTCATGGGAGCTGCTTTCTGTGACATCCGCAATGAAAGCGAAGATGAATATAGCGAGCTGGAAGAAGCCAATGGCGTCTGGAATAAAGTTTTCACCTTCATTGTTCTCTTTATCCTGGCCATATTTTATGGCGGCCTAGTCACTTTCATCAAGGTAAAACGGAAATCGATTCAAAGATAGAAATAGATTATCGCCATCTCTTTGTTTCTCAGTTGCCCGTACAGTAAATGAGTACCTACCCATCGCAGCACAGAATCATGGCAGAAAGTCACAAAGATGATTAGGGGGCCGGAGGCCAGAAGCAGGGGGTTGGACTAGAAGACCTCCAAGGTCCACTCCAACTCTGTTATTCTGTTTTCACATAAGCAGGAATTGGGTATATCTAGTCTAGTGAAAAGAAGGACTAGGGATGACATTATAGGTGTTATATTAAGCCAGTTCTATCCGGTTCAGGCGAACTGGTAGTGCCGGCTGCAGGAGGCTCCACCCACCCGCCCAGACGTAATTATGTCCCATTTATCCATGTTTTTGATGCTCTACGCCTGCGCGGAAGTGGTGCATGCAAGCAAAGCGAGTGAGCGCGTGCATGCACTCCCATTTGGAAACCGGTAGCGAAGGTAAGTGAATACCACCACTGAGTATTCCTAATATATTTTTAACAGATTAACAGAGTTGGAAGGGACCTTGTAGGTCATCTAGTCCAACCCCCCCACCCAAGCAAGAGTCCTTACATCATTTCTGACAAATGGCAGTCCAATCTCTTCTTGAAAGCATGTACAGATGCTTCCTGATGACGTTGGGGTCGGTAGGTGGAGCCTCCTGCTGGTTTTACTACCGGTTCTTGCGAACCAATCTGAACCAGGGGCAACCCACCACTGATTTAGTCCAACCCCCTGCCCAAGGAAACCCTATGCCATTTCTGACAGATGGCAGTCCAGTCTCTTCTTGAAAGCCTCCAGTGATGAAGCTCCCACAACTTTTGAAGGGAACTTCTATTCCATAGGTTGATTGTTCTCACTGTCAGAAAATTTCTCCTTATTTCTAGGTTGAATCTGTCCTTGATCATTTTCTTCCATTGTTCCTTTTGTCTGGCCTTCGGGTGCCTTGGAAAATAGCTTGACCCCCCTGCTCTCTGTAGCAGCCCCTCAAATATTGGAACAGCTTCTCTTCACTAGACGAGCCATGCCCAGTTCCTGTAACCGTTCTTCAAATGTTTTAGTCTCCAGTCCCCTCATCATCCTGGTTGCTCTTCTCTGCACTTTTTCTAGAGTCTCCACCTCTTTTTTATAGTGTGGTGACCAAAACTGGATGCAGGATTCTAGGTGTGGTCTTACTAAGACTTTATAGAGTGGTATCAGTACCTCATATTTAAGGGGCTGCCACAAAAAAAGAAGGGGTCAGCTTATTTTCCAAAGCACCAGAAAGTGCTTTGGAAGGCACTTCCAACAGAAGTGGAAGGCAACACAAGAAGCAATGGATGTCCCAAAGATGTCCCCGTGGGTCAGACCTAAGCAGACCACAGGCCAGATGTGGGCCACTCAGTGGTGGGATTCAAATAATTTAACAACCAGTTCTCTGCCCTAATGACCGGCTGAGTGGGCGTGGCCATGGTGAGCGTGGCCATGGTGGGAGTGGCCATAGGTGTGTGATAGGCAGCACTCAGCCTTCTGCACTTCCCTGGGAGCAAAAACAGGCCGCTGAGGGGGACACGCAACCGCACCCCATCTTGGGCCTAGTAGGCCTCCCTGCACTTACCTGGGAGCCAAAATGGGGCAGGTAGGGACTCCTGGAAGGGGCAGGGAGGGGGAGGGGTCAACCACCAATTTAACTACTGGTTCGCGTGAACCATCCCGAACCGGATGAATCCCACTACTGGGGCCACTGGCCTTGAGTTTGACACCCCCGTCCTAGAGACACACATCAGGCCAATTATTTAATATTGAGTAGTTGATTTAATCTTTCTTCTCTCTCTCTCTCTTCCCTCTTTCTCTTTTCCTTGCTCTTTTCACAGGTGAAATAACCATCACCCTCTTTCCTATCAATGAAGTACACATCCAACGAGACCCCCACCTTTTCCCCTCCATCGTCCATGTCTCTCGCTCATCCTTCCTGACCACTGTTTTGAGCCACATGTTTCGTGGGAAGTCACAGCAGAGCATTAAATGTCCCAAAAAGGATCCACTTCCACGTGAACCTGTCTCTGGCTCAGCAGCCCTAACAATAACAGGAAGAAACCAGTTGGTTTTCTACCTGGAAGAAAAAGGCTCTAGGAAAGAAAAGAAGTTTAATATCTTTACCCAAATGTTCACAAATGCTAAGAAACTCATGAAGGGTGCAAAAATACCAAATTGTTATCCTTATCTCTCCTTATGTCTGAAATTGTTATCCTGTCCCCTTATATCTAAAAGAGCAAAGAGAAATACCATGCCCTTTCCGAACCAAGCCACTGTTGGATCATGATTAATGTACTGGCATAAGGTAAAGGTTCCCCTCACACATATGTACTACTCGTTCCCGACTCTAGGGGGCGGTGCTCATCTCCGTTTCAAAGCCGAAGAGCTGGCGCTGTCCGAAGACATCTCCGTGGTCATGTAGCCAGCGTGATTCAACACCAAAGGCACACGGATTGCTGTTACCTTCCCACCAAAGGAGGTCCCTATTTTTCTACTTGCATTTTTCACGTGCTTTCGAACTGCTAGGTTGGCAGAAGCTAAAATCACTTTTCAAGAGTGACCCTGTTTTTATTTTTCAAGAAAAGAGGGCAAATGAAAACCTGTTCCCTTCACCTCCAATACTGAACTTACCAACTTATTTTTCAACATCAATTTTGTTCTTCTCTTGATCTGCCCTCTAGTCAGGCTTCCGAGCTCCTTTTTCAGTTGCGACGGCCTTCAGCAACCTTCTGCCAGTTAAAATGGAGCTCGTGGGGGCTGCCCATGGGCCATATCTGGCCTGTGGGGCTATCCTGGAAACAGTAAAGGACTGGCCTGCAGGCAGCCCTCATGAGCTCCATTTTCCCTAGCAGAGGGTTGTAAGAAGCCGTCGCAGCTGAAAACAGAGCTCGGGAGGGTCGTGGACAGCCCTCACAAGCTCCGTTTTTGCTAGCAGAGGGTTGTAGGAAGCCGTTGCAGCCTAAAACAGAGCTCGGGAGGGTCGTGGACAGCCCTCGTGAGCTCCATTTTTGCTAGCAGAGGGTTGTAGGAGGCCATCACAGCCAAGAATAGAGCTCGGGAGGGTCATGGACAGCCCTCGCGAGCTCCATTTTTGCTAGCAGAGGGTTGTAGGAGGCCGTTGCAGCCAAAAACAGAGCTCGGGAGCCCGTTTTCACTGGCAGAGCGCTTGGGCCCCCACAGGCGCCCCCAACACAAGTGACGTTGAACTGGCCATGGCCACCTTGCCCCCCCCCCCAGATGTCAAAAACAACCCTGATGCAACCCTCAATGAAATCGAGTTTGACACCCCTGCTCTAGTGCTAAACAGCTAGTAAACTATTTTCTTTAAAGTCAATTTAATTAACTACTTCATTTACTTCCAATTAGGCATTTAGGCCCAGAAAGTTTCTTAGTGCAAAGTAAAAATACCAAACTATTTTCTAGAGTGTCCAAAATCAATGGCTGTTTTGCTGAAAGTAGAGGCATCTACCAATGGGCATTGTATGTTCCTTGATTAAGGTTATGTATGGATATTATCATGATGTAGCATAAATGAGCATTATTATTTTTTTCAGTTTATGAAACTGAATAACACTGCCTTGCCAACTGCATTTATTTTATTCTCTTAGCACTAAATTTTGCCCTCCTCTGCTATATAAACTGAATTAAAACAGATTTTTTTGCTGCATTTCATTATATTGTGCTACGTTTTATGCTGTGTACTGCACTATTTGTAAAATCGTTGCTTATTTTTTCTGGATTTTTTTTTTTTAACTTCTATAGTTGCACTGAATCTGACTATATTATTTTTCTTGTTCCCCATCATATAATTTTCTCATTAAGTGGAAGCATTCTGTAAATTTTGCTGCTACATAAAGTTTCTTTTTCTACCTATATACAGTATTATTCTTTGTCTCTATCTTTTTTTAAAAAGGGGTGGGAGTTGGAGGAACAGCAGTAAGCACTGATTTTACATCCAGTGGGAGTTGACTCAAGTCATCACAATCAAATTGATGGCATTTGTTAGTAAGAGCCAGCTGGGTGTAGCAATTAAGGCATTAGACAAGAAACTGGAAGGCTGAGAGTTCCAGTCTCACTTTGGGCACCAAACTGGATGATTTTGAGCCAGTCACTTTCCCTCATCCCTAGGAAGGAGGCAATGGCAAACTACTACTGAAAAACCTGGCCAATAAAACTGCAGGGATTTGTCTCCAAGAATCAGACGTGATTAAAATGTAAGGTTCTACATTTAGTCAAGAAAAACCAAATGCACAGGTACACTATATGTGGTACCTTTCTCAATAGTAGTAACTGTGAGAGGGATCTAGGAGTCCTTGTGGACAAACGTTTAAATATGAGCCAGCTGTGTGCAGCAGCTGCCAAAAAAGCCAACACAGTTCTAGGCTGCATAAACAGAGGGATAGAATCAAGATCACATTAAAAGTGTTAATACCATACTGACAGTTAGAACCATTAATCAGTGGAACAACTTGCCTCCAGAAGTTGGGAATGCTCCAGCACTGGAGGTTTTTAAGAAGATGTTGGATAACCATTTGTCTGAAGTACTGTAGGGTTTCCTGCCTAAGCAGGAAGTTGGACTAGAAGACCTCCAAGGTCCTTTCCAACTCTGTTATTCTATTCTATTCTAAATAGAAGAGGGGAACCTTATACATAAAAAGGCACAAATGTATGGCCTAAGTACCGGCGGTGGAAATGTTTACAAGAAAAAGGAGAAATAAGCTCTTAAAAACAGGATGGAAATCAATAACAAATGTTCCCGGGTACAGATGTTTTCAAGTTTGACTCTAGACTGTTCGGAAATTAGAGAAGTTGTAAATTTCAGCATAGTTCTGTCCTAAATAGCAATAGCAGAATTATGCTGTCCTTACTTAAATTTATATACTGCTTCATGGTGCTTTACAGTTCTCTCTAAGCGGTTTACAGAATCAGTATATTGCCCCCAATAATCTGGATGGTCATTTTATCAACCTGAAAATAGTTTATTCAATTGTGCCTCATTGGTTCAACATATCCTTAATAGGCTTTATTGTGACAAATAAATGAGTAAATAAAACCACCCCAGAGGATTAAGGGAAACCCATAACCCATAATCTTGCCTGAGAAATGGTGAGATTTCTCAACAAATATGCCTCACGTTGCAATCCTGAAAGCAAAGCGAATAAAACTGCTACAGCCATAAATCCAGTGCAATGAATAAAATGTAACCCAAATATTTAATAACGTTCATATATAAGATAGGACACCTCTGCAGACATTCGTTCTGTCCCATAATGATAACCTTCTCATTGCATGGCCTTATTACTTAGCCATAACGTTTTGTTACCGATTTGGGGTTTCTTTCAGTTTTAAGATCATCCTGTTGGGGTATTTACCCAAGAGTAAGCTTCACTGAATACATAAAACTCTTGTGTTTCAGAATTGCAAAGTTCTCCACAGAGAATAGAGTAGAGTAGAGTAGAGTAGAGTGGAATGGAATGGAATGGAATGGAATGGAATGGAATGGAATGGAATGGAACGGAATAACAGAGTTGGAAGGGACCTTGGAGGTCTTCTACTCCAACCCACTGCTTAGGCAGGAAACCCTACACCACTTCAGACAAATGATTATCCAACATCTTCTTTAAAACTTCCAATGTTGGAGCATTCACAACTTCTGGAGGCAAGTTGTTCCACTGATAAATTGTTCTAACATTCAGGAAATTTCTCTTTAGTTCTAAGTTGCTTCTCTCCTTGGTTAGTTTCCACCCATTGCTTCTTCTCCTGCCCTCAGGTGCTTTGGAGAGTAGCTTGACTCCCTCTTCTTTGTGGCAGCCCCTGAGATATTGGAACACTGCTATCATGTCTCCCCTAGTCCTTCTTTTCATTAAACTAGACATACCCAGTTCCTGCAACCGTTCATCATATGTTTTAGCCTCCAGTCCTCTAATCATCTTTGTTGCTCTTCTCTGCACTCTTTCTAGAGTCTCCACATCTTTTTTACTTTTATTTTGGGGAAACAGGGTCTTAATTTACAATCTCAATAACAGAGAGAAAAAGGAGCAGATATGTTTGACCTAGAGGTTTTTCTATGGGAAATCCTGTTGATCCCTACAAAGTGCTACATAAAAATCTTTCCACACTTTTTTTTCCAAAAAGTTTTTTTTTAATTTTTTTGTTTTTTACAAACATATCATTGTGTGAACAGTGTGGTACCAGAGTGTCTTACATTTTAGTACAAATAGTGCGATATGCTTCATATTTAATACAGTCGACAATCTTATAAAATTTTAGTAAGAGTACACATATTTTGTTGAATTATAATCTTTCATTCTTTGATTATTCGATATTTCAGCCTATTATTTTGATACCAATCTACAAATTCTAAATGTCACTTCTTTTACCATGTTTCCCTGAAAATAAGACCCTGCCTTATATATATAAACCCTGAAATAAGCGCTTGGTCTTATTGCCATGTGCTCAAAAGCCCGACTGGGTTTATTATCAGGGGATGTCTTATTTTGGGGGAAACAGGGTACTACAAATAAAAAATTAATAGTCATATTTGTCGTGTTTAACAAACTTAGACCCTTCTAATAGTAATACACTGATTTATATTAAATTACCATGTTTCTCCGAAAATAAGACTTATACTGTTTTTTGCTCCAAGATATGCACTAGGGCTTATTTTCTGGTTAGATCTTATTTGGGGGAAAATATTTATTTATTTATTTATTTATTTATTTATTTATTTATTTATTTATTTATTTATTTATTTAATTAATTAATTAATTTATATACCGCCCTACTCCCGAAGGACTCAGGGTGATGAACAGCCAAAAGATAAAATTCACATAGTACAAACGTTAAAAAACCAATTAAAATACATTAAATACTTTGGCCCAAGACAAATTTAAAACACCCCAATTTATAAAACAAATTTAAAAGCAATTAAAAGGGAGGTTAGGCCAGACCAGCCTGCTGGAATAAGAATGTTTTGAGGGCACAGCGGAAAGTGCGCAAATCCGGGATCCTCCGTATCTCCGGGGGGAGATCGTTCCAGATGGCAGCTGTCCCCACAGAGAAGGTGGTACTAATATGGTACTAATTGTGTTTGTCTGGCTGATGATCTTAACTGGGGCTTATTTTTGGGATACGGTTTATATTATAAGCATCTTGAAAAGTCATGCTAGGGCTTATTTTCCAGTTTGGTCTTATTTTCAGGGAAACAGGGTATAATCGTCCATTCTTTATCCCCTTTTTAATTTTTAGCTATACCACTGTTATGTTTAAAAAATATCCCCTTTCTAATCACATAAATCTTTCCACCCTTTTGGGTCAGGCAGGGAATATCAATATTTCTCAGTGTTGAGTCAGGCAGGGAATATCAACATTTCTCAGTGTTGGTGGCTTTAAGATGGTGGCTTTAAACCAGCATAGGCTGGCTGGGAAATTCTGGGAGTTGAAGTCCACACATCTTAAAGCTATCAAGTGTGAGAAACACTGTCCTCCATGACATTTTTTTTTAAAACAGTTAATGCATTCTAGTTTGGTTTTCCCCCACCAAACCTGGTGTTTTCACCTCTCGCTGAGTCAAATCACAAACGGAAGTTAAGTTTCTATTCAAAGCATATCTTGAGTTCTTCTTCTCAAGTTATGAATCTATCACTTGTAAGCCTTGGTCTCAAATTGGAAGTTTCAGCTGCAGCTCTTGGTGTAAACAGGATACATCTGTTCTCAGGGTGACAATGAGTTAGGAGACCATCAACTGATGATGTCGGCCATTTTGTCACAAACAGCAAACATCAGGAAGAAATGGAGCGAGAAGATTTTTCACTGCGGCCACAATAAATTATCTCCTGGAAAAAATAGCATGTCATCGATGAAATGTGCCAGAAGTTTTTAGCATTGAGGTTCTCAACAGTTAGATGTTTCTTCTGCTTTCCAAAATATATATATATCATTTGTCATCAACGGAATGTCCCACAAGGCTCATTTTTCTTGCCTCAATTTTTTGGGGGGTGGGTGGGTGGCAAGATGGAGACTAAACAACCATAAATTTAACAGCACCATGAGTCAGGTGGTACTTTTAAAAAATATTTTAGCCCACTAATTGTTTTTTTTTAAAAAAAATTCTACTATCATTCAATGATCGTGGTGGAATTAATCCTATGTTTGTTCATTTCTGACATTTAGAACAGCTATGTGGACATCCTTGTTATGTGGGATTGGATAATAATATAGAAATTTAGCTTTTTTCTACCTCTGGTTGTTTCTACCGACTTTCCCACCTATTGCAAAAAGAGAGCTAGTAAGCCTTTGTTTTAAAACAGGACTGGGCCCTATCTAATAAAATGTGAGAAAAGTAAGGTAAGAAAAAAAATAAATGCACAGGTATAGAATAGGTGATACAGATTAACAGATTTACAGAGTTGGAAGGGACCTTGTAGGTCATCTAGTCCAACCCCCCACCCAAGCAGGAGACCCTACACCATTTCTGACAAATGGCAGTCCAATCTCTTCTTGAAAGCCTCCAGTGATGAAGCTCCCACAGCTTCACAAGGCAAGCTGTTCCACTGGTGGATTGTTCTCACTGTCAGAAAATTTCTCCTTATTTCCAGGTTGAATCTCTCCTTGTTCAATTTCCATCCATTATTCCTTGTTTGGCCTACAGATGCTTTGGAAAATAGCTTGACCCCTTCCTCTCTGTGGCAGCTCCTCAAATATTGGAAGACTGCTATCATGTCTCCCCTGGTCCTTCTCTTCACTAGACTAGCCAGGCCCAGTTCCTCTAACTTTTCATGGTATGTTTTAGCCTCCAGTCCCCTAATCATCTTGGTTGCTCTTCTCTGCACTCTTTCTACACATCTTTTTTATAGTGTGGTGACCAAAACTGG